CTGCACGTGTGATCCGGAGCTCACTTCCTACCAAGGGCCCTTTTCAAGGATGAGGGTGCACTCGCCCTTGCTCCCTAAGAATTGGGACACCCTACAACCCTGCGGGTACGGGCAGAATCTTGGGTAAGGGAACAAATAAAGGGCTAGGGGGAGAATTGGGACAGGCCCTGTGATATACTGATAATAGCATGTGTATTATCTGTCTAGAAAGTATACCGGCGTTCACCCTTAGAGGGCGCAATCGCATTGTTGAGAGCCAAGTGCCCAGTGTTGAGACATAACGATGTTGTAACCTGTTTCATGTACACTACCGTTCAAAAGTTTGGGGTCACATTGAAATGTCCTTATTTTTGAAAGAAAAGCTGTAGATAACTTTAAACTAGTCTTAACTGTAAAGAAATACACTCTATACATTGCTTATGTGGTAAATGACTATTCTAGCTGCAAATGTCTGGTTTTTGGTGCAATGTTGTAATTGCTGCAAATGGAGGATTCTTTGACAAAAGCAAAGTTGGATGAAAAACAAACCTTATTTCAAATTCAAATCATTATTTCTAACCTTGTCAATGTCTTGACTCTATTTTCTATTCATTTCACAACGTATGGTGTTTTCATGGAAAACACTTGGGTGACCCCAAACCTTTGAACGGTAGTGTATAAGATGTCGGAGTAAACGTGAAAGTTTATCCGTGATGTTTATGTTGTTTTTACTGGCCCCTTAGACCCAGACTTGGACCCAGATTTTCTCCCAGACTTTGACCCGAGACTTGGATCTTTAGCTGAAGCTGAAGAAAACACAAAATATTTCAACAGAAATTGAAGCGTCAATGAAAGTGTGATGTATGTGACCACACAACATGTATGCGCCCTAACTTCACATTACACCTGTGTGTAGGGGCATAGACCCACGTACAGGCTGTAGTTCCAGGACTCAATCCAGGACTAAGCCGGCTCCCAGACCAGGGGGAGACAGCCTACAGGTGCGGAAGAAGGAGGCCAGATTCAGGGGTCCCATCATCACGCAGACCAACCAAGCGGCTCCACCTCTGCTGCTTTGACCCGTCCTGCTCCACCCAGAGGCTACACCACCTCTGCTGCTTTGACCCGTCCTGCTCCACCCAGAGGCTACACCACCTCTGCTGCTTTGACCCGTCCTGCTTCACCCAGAGGCTACACCACCTCTGCTGCTGTAACCTGAAGTGCTGTTTCTTATTTTTACTACTACTATTGTTAGCTTTTCAGAATGATCAATTTATTTTTTTTGTCTGTGAATTTCTCCTACAATAAAGTATCTAACTATCTAGACAGTGGGTGAATAGCAATGAACAGACAGCAGCTTAAAGGTCCCTTATTGCGCTCTTCTTAATTTCAATCCCAGTGTGATAATAATTTGAGTGATACACCATACAACACTCAACTTGTGAAAGTTGAAACAAGCTGATCTCTGCTCCTCTGCCTGTGAGCCCGCCTCCCCAAAGTAGCCTCTCACTGATTTGTTTACCTCCAAAACAAACTGTTCTGCTTTCGCCAGCACATATTTTAGACCTGAGAATAAACATTTTCCAACATTGGCAACAACGGCCTATATCCTTGATCCAGAATCCAACCCTAATTATTCAGATGATATACGGTGCAGTGAGTTATCAGCATTGTAATTACAGATCGTTAGCTTCTTTTATTGTGGGAATAACACAGGTTTCCAGATCAGCTTTTGAGTAGAGTAAGTCCAGTTTCATGGTAACTGCAGTTCTGGAACAGGTTTTAATGAAGTGTTGCAGAAAAACATAGTTGTCATGGGAGACAGATCCTTGTGGAAAAAGTCCAGCCTCATTGGCCCATTCTTTGTCATCAGCCCAATAGTGCGTCTCATATTTACACCCAAAAACACATTTTCTCCAAGTTGACATGATGCTAACATTTTTAGTCGATGACAAAAGCAGAAAATCAGTATAGCTCCATGTACCATAGACCAAACACTGGACCTGGGAGCTGGCCTCATGGAAATTATCATTTTTTTTATCATTTTGGACAACAAACAGCATGTTTATCATATATTGTTTTCCTATTTTAAGCCATTGGGCTGAGTGGATAGCACTCTCGCTTCTCAGCAAGAAGGTCCTGGGTTCGGATCCCGATCGGAACAGGGCCTTTCTGAGTGGAGTTTGCATGTTCTCCCCGTGTCTGCGTAAGTTTCCGGCAAGCGCCTCCTGTACTGGCGATCCCGCTCCCATCTCTGTGTGGAGTGAGAGACAAATGCCCAAAAATAACAATTGTAAACCGCTTTGAGACTCTGGTCTGTGAAAGGCGGTATATAAATAAACATTACTTACTTACTTAAATACAGAGGCGGGCTTCTGCCTCATCCGCTTCATTGATGTTGTGGTCATCATTGATGTTGATCCTGCCATTTTGCTGCCTCTCGAGCATGAAAGAGAAAGCTTGAAGGAATCAGTGATAAAACGAGGCCCAATTGCACTGTAATGATGTTTAAAGGCGTGAAAAGTCACAAAGCTTCTCTATCAGAGGTCTCCAGCGTCACTGACAATCTGTGTCTTTAGACCTAGGGTTGAATGTAGAGACTGTCTGCTTCCTTATCGTGGATGGGGATTAGCTTGGAGCTAAATACTTCGCCTCCTGCATTTTTGGACCCATTAGGAACCACTAATGTGTCTTGGAGGTAGGAGGGTGGCATGTCGGTTCTGGCCTTGTATGTCAAAAGAAGGATTTTAAGTTTGATTCTATACTCCTCAGGGGGCCAGAGGAGGGATTTGAACACTGGTTCCCTTTTGGTGCCTGTTAAGATCCTTGGTTCTGTGTTTTGGACAGGCTGAAACCTTTTGTCTGGAGAACGTTGCCAGCAGGGCGTTACAGTATTTTTTTTATTTTTTTCAAGCCTTGAGATTTTCTGGATATTCCTATTTTTAGCTAATGTTGAGCCAGTGGAAATATTTTAGTTGCTTGATTTATATGTGCTCTGCAGGAGAGTTCTTGATCAATACAACATTATTAAGGGACCGATTATCTGATTGGTGAGGGAGTCATGCAGATGTTTGGGGCCAACCTCTCAGAGGAGATCACGTCTGTTTCATTCCAGGTGGAGGAGCAGATACAGTGGGATGCAAGAGTTTGGGCAATCCTTCATGATTTTTCATGATTTTCCTTTATAAATAATTGGTGTTTTGAATAAGAGATTTCTGTTAAATATATAAACACATTGATAGTTGAGAAGTGAACTCAATTTTGTATCATTTACAGTAAGTGCAATAATTATTTCAACCAAATGAGGCTTGTGCATAAAATAAAAATGACCTCATGATTTTGTACATCCTTCTTTTGCAGAAACAAAATGCTTCCTATAACTTACAATCAGAGACTAGATTCTGGTGGAAGGTATTGTGGAGAATCCATGCACCCCTCACCTTTAAGAAGGTTCAAAGTACCTGCATGATTTCACCATCACCAGATTGTGTTTTTCTTGGAATGCTGTGTTCTTTTCCCCCCATACATAACGGCGCTTGTTTTGCCCAAATATTTTCATCAGTCCACTGCACCTTATTCCAAAGCAAATTTGTCTCGTCCAAATGGGTTTTAGCATAAATATTGCATGTCTTTGGGTTGGCACTAACTGTTATTCTCTGATTTTTCTTGGTCTGCCAAGAAACATTCGGGCCTGAACTAGAACTGTACCTGAGGTCTTCCATTTCCTCACAAAGTTTCTCACAGTTGAATCTGAATGCTTAAACCTCTGATAGCTTTAATCCTTCCCCTAGACCATGGTGTTGAACAATCTTTGTTTTCAGGTCATTTGAGAGTTGCTTTGTGGCTCCCATCTTGCCACTCTTCAGAGAAGATGCAAAGAGGGGAAAGACTTAGAATTGACCTACTTAAATATCCTTTCTCCTGATAATTCACCTGTGTATGGAGGTCAAGGGTCACTGAGGTTAAAAGTTTTAAAATCAATAACATTTTAAAGGGTGCCTGAATTCTTGCACATTTTCTGTGAACGATACAAAATTTCACTTCACAAATACCATTGTGTTTGTTTCCTATATGATATATTTAACTGAAAGACTTATGGTTAACTGAACCAATGATTCATAAAGGAAAATCCTCCAAACGTATATGGCTGCCCAAACTTTTGCAAACCACTGGGTCAGGTCCTTTTTGCAGCCCTAAGCCTTTCTAACTGATCTGTCTAGTTTGGTTTCATAAACGGGTAAAGCTTTGTGTCATCTGCATAGCAATGGAAGTCAATACATGCTTTCGTTAGGCAACATTATTAATATGATAGAGTGAGAAGAGAATCGGAGTATGATCCTTGTGGCACACCGAATTTCACTTTGGAATAGGCCGAGGAGTTTTGGTTTTACATTAACAAACGGATGCCGATCCGATGAATAGGATTTAAACCAGCCAAGGGCTGTTCCTCTGAGACCTATGTCACATTCTAGTCTCTGCAGTAGAATGCTGTGGTCACCTCTCTTCTCACGATGGGGACTCTGAAATACAGAGAATTCGTATTTCTTAAAGAGTGTGTGGTTCTAAATGATGAGTGAAACAAGTACATTGGAGAATGAATCTGCAGAGTGAATTTGTAAGAGTGATCCAGGGCTTAAGAACAGTAGTCATTCAGTTGTGACTTGGACGAGTGCTGTTTCAGTGCTATGATGAGCTCTGAATCTGGATTGAGAAGGGGTCAAATATATTATTTTCCTGTGGGTAGCAGTGTATTTGTTTGGCAATAAGCTTTTCAAGAATTTAAGATATAAAGGGAGGATTTAAAATTGGTCTGTAATTTGTTTTCCATTCAGTGGCGAGATTTGTCTTGTTCAGAAAAGGTTTGATTGCTGCTGTGTTGAAGGCTTGTGGCCCACTTTCTATAGATGTTTTTTTATGTATAATTTTTTTCATTTAAGATCTCTCACCCTATTTTTAGGGCAAGAGTGTGTTTGAACAGCCCAGATGGGATTGCGTCTAAAAAGTCTCCTCTGTCCTCAGACATGTCCTCTCAGATGTCTCCAACCTCAGACTGCTCGTCTCTGGTGGAGATCTCCGTCTCCTGTTCTGATCTTCTGGACAAAGATGTTGGCTCCAAGTCCGACCCGCTGTGTGTGCTGCTGCAGAAGGACCAGGACAAGTGGACTGAGGTAAGGACCAGGACAAGTGGACTGAGGTAAGGACCAGGACTAGTCGACTGAGGAGAAGACCCTGACAAGCCCTAATGAGATAAACGTGTGTGTCTAGGTTGGCCGTACGGAGCGCGTCGAGAACTGCTCCTCCCCCTCCTTCAGCTCCAGGCTCCGCCTCCAGTTTCACTTTGAGACGGTTCAGAACCTAAAGTTTTGTATTTACGACATTGACAATGAAACCAAGGACACAAAGGATGACGACTTTCTGGGTGGTGTTGAGTTCACGCTGGGACAGGTGAGATGCGGGCTACAGAGGACGCCTGTATAATGACCTCACCTACACCTGTGTTTCAGACCTCACATTACACCTGTGTGTTCAGATCGTGTCCAGTAAATCCGTGACTCGTCCTCTTCAGCTGAAGAAAGGGAAACCTGCAGGAAAAGGATCCATCACGGTGAGTACTTCTGTTGTACTACTAATACTACTGTCGAACTAGCCTGGCCTTAGCCATCCGTACACTCCATTCAGTCATCATTTCACTGCATGTAACGTCTGGGTCTGGTCCCTGTGTTAGCAAATACAATCGGTTGAATTTCGACCGACCATTCAGAGAGCGCAGAAGGCAGGTGTTGTAGTTAGTTGTGGGTGATGTCAAGAGTTTGCGTCGAACGGGCAGGTTGTAGTTTGGTAATGGCGATAAATGCGATAGTAAAGTAATCCGGTCTGGTTCTATCAAGAAATTGAAGCAGGAGCAAGGGGAATGTTTAGCAAATGTAATCGCTGGAAAACATTGTGGCGCTACTCCCCACGGGCTTAGCGGCAAAGAAGATGGCTAGGCTAAATGCTAAATGCTAACAACAGACTCGGTCGCGCTACATACGTCACGGTAAACTCAGATCCAATCGTTTCAATCTGCAAAAGGAGTTAATCCCTCCCACCTGTAAACGGAGCTCAATGGAGCAGCTCTAGACCTTAGTACGAAATGTAATTTGTACTATGGTGTGGTACGACCAGGCTACTGTCGAACTAATACTGAAGTACTGTGTACTCTAGTCCCTCACTGTAACACACTTCACTGTTTCTCTGGTCCCGCTCTGGTCTCTCATCTCTTTCTCTGGTCTCTATCTTTCTCTCCTTTTGGTCTGGTTATTTTTAGATACTGACGAAGTGTGATCAGGTCACACTGAGACCGTTGAGTACATTGTGTGCACGCCCTGGTGTCACCTGTAGGGATGCTGTTTCAGGTGTGTGCAGAGGAGGTGAAGGACAACAGAGCCATAGAACTGGAGCTGGAGGCTAAGAACCTGGACAAGAAGGTACACACCTAGACACACACGCACGCACGCGCACGCACACGCACACACAAGATCCACACAATAGATCCACTGTCTCTTTTTTTATTCAGGACACGTTTGGAAAGTCCGACCCTTTTCTGGAGTTCTTCAAACAAGGAGACGACGGGAAGTGGGTCCTTGTTCATCGCACTGAGGTAAGACCCAACTGAGGCTGTGGACCCAAGACTGAGGCTGTGGACCCAAGACTGAGGCTGTGGACCCACGACTGAGGATGTAGACCCAGAACTGGAGCTACAAATCCAGACCTGTTGTTTTACAGGTGGTGAAGAACAATCTGAATCCAGTCTGGAAGAAGTTCTCGGTTCCTCTGCAGACGCTCTGCTCCGGAGACCTGGACCGAGAGCTGAAGGTGAGGCTTGTGTCTATAGATTTCAGGATGTAGACAAGGGGCCCATAGTTCCTCTGGAGAAGTAGACCTCCAAAGTTCACCTGGGGGAGTCTGGGGCCTTTATTGAGCTAGTGGCTTAGCATTCAGCTAGCGGGTCAGTATTAGCATTGTCCATCTGTTTGCAAAGTTACAGCTAACATTGAATGAGCTCTGGCAATATTACAATACAATACAATACAATACAATTTATTCTTGTATAGCCCTAGGTCACAACAGAAGTCATCTCAGAGGACTTAACAAAACCATTGAAATCACCAACACAGATCAGAGAATCAACAGCCAAAACACATGAAAAATATAAAGCACACACAGAAGAAAATGTCCATACATGTTGTAGAATGCCAAAGTGTCCTGATCATCACCAATCCTTTCTGTTGGACACTAACTGTCCAACAAGACCCTCCTGCATCGACAAGGAAAAACTCTTAAAAATGTCAGTGGGAAAAAGTGAGAAACCTTGGGGAGAACTAGGGAAACCCACAGGGAGGGAGACCCATATGAGAAAGGGATCCGCTCCTCCGGACGGACAGGCTAATGATCTAGGACCTAAGCTAGCTACAGAACGTGGACCAGTGGCCGCTGAACGTGGACCAGTGGCCGCTGAACGTGGACAGGTCCGGTGCAGGACTGAAGCACTCCCAGGCGGGTCGGGCAGGGCAGTCCGCAGGTGTAGATGGAGGCCAGGTCCAGAGGTCCCGTCATCGTACCATGAAACAGACAATGGGACAACGGGTGAATAGCAATGAACAAACTACAGTCAGAATCCTAAAAGTGCTAAACAGATAAAGACGATAAAGTAGGAAGGAGGAGAGGATAGTGCTCAAGTTACCATACTTCTCCCAGCAAACTGACTCCCTATGCAGCTTGACTGACAGTCTGAGGAGTTTAGCCTTCCCTGAGTCTTACCTTCCTAGCCATATGCTAAACTAAAGAGGACTGTTTTAAACCTAGCCTTGAATAAAGAGATTCATGGATTGCACACCAGGTGTGCAAACCGATCCAAGCAAACCTAATTATATATTATATATCATATGCATCATATATACCATACATACCATATATATCCTAAATAATACACAACATAACATACAGCATAATATATAACATAATATACAACAGAACTGGATATCGAAAGTGATATCGTTATTATTGTAGCCATAATAACCATGACAATAGTGCAGAACACGCTCCTTTCTGATTGGCCACTCTCTGAATAAGCTTCTCACTGATTGGCAGCTCTCTGAACGTGCTCCTCTCTAATTGGCCGACAGGCGAGCTGCTCAGACTACGACTCGGACGGTTCTCACGATCTGATTGGCTCATTCAGCTGCTCCGTGACGTCGCTGCAGCAGCAGAAGAGTTTTGACTGTGTTCATCCAGAAAAACAGAAGAAGAAGAAGAGCTACAAGAATTCGGGCAGCGTGCACGTGCGGAAAGCTGAGGTGGATTATCTCTGGAGAAGAGCTCACTGAAACACACACAGTAGGAGAGGAGGAGTGCTCACTGTATCACATACTGAACGAAGGGTTGATTATCTCTGTCCTCAGATCCAGACGCAGTTCACCTTCCTGGATTATGTGATGGGCGGCTGTCAGATCAACTTCACTGTAAGTACTACTACTACGACTACTGCTACTGCTGCCTCATCTTAGTGCTTGTCTCCGTATGGTTCTCAGGTGGGCGTGGACTTCACTGGTTCTAATGGAGACCCTCGCTCACCCCAGAGTCTGCACTACATGAGTCCAGACGGAACCAACCAGTACCTGAAGGCCCTGTGGTCCGTGGGACAAGTGGTCCAGGACTACGACAGGTCTGGACCCGTCATGCACCCTAACCGGACCAGCTGCTGACTTTAGTGACTTTTGTGAATTTTCTTTTTATCTCAGTGACAAACTATTTCCCGCATTTGGATTTGGAGCCAAACTTCCCCCAGAATTTAAGGTATGAGCATCTTCTGTTAGCATGCTCTTTTAGCATCTATTGTTGGCATGTTCTGTTAGCGTAAAGGGGTCACTCCTGATCACGTCATGTCTCTGTTTCAGGCGGCGCATCACGACTTCGCTTTGAACTTCAACCCCACAAACCCGTACTGCCAAGGTGACCACAGTGTGTGTGAGGGAGGGGGTGGGGCAGCATCTCTGGTCTCTCTCTGGAAAGGGCATATGTTTCCCTGGGGACCATAGGTATGGGGTGCCGATTGTAAAAATTCTGTTAAAATTTTTTAGCTGAACATTTTTCTACATTTAGCTCACTTTCCTCACATGTAAGACATATCTATATCTAAATATTATATCTATATCTAAATGTTAAATGTTATATCTAAATATTATATCTATATCTAAATGTTATATCTATATCTAAATGTTAAATCTAAATGTTAAATCTAAATGTTAAATCTAAATGTTAAATCTAAATGTTATATCTATATCTAAATGTTATATCTATATCTAAATGTTATATCTATATCTAAATGTTATATCTATATCTAAATGTTATATCTATATCTAAATGTTAAATGTTATATCTAAATATTATATCTATATCTAAATGTTATATCTATATCTAAATGTTAAATCTAAATGTTAAATCTAAATGTTAAATCTAAATGTTAAATCTAAATGTTAAATCTAAATGTTAAATCTAAATGTGTCGCCAAGTGTAAAGCTAAATATATAGAAACCACGCCCACTGCAGTGGCTTCAAATCCAGTGGGCCCGCCTTCCGTGCCGTGTGGTGAGAACCCTACAGGATTACACAGGAATCTCACGGGACTCCACGTGGCTTAGTTTACAGTGAATACACTCTGGCTCCAGCAAATAAGCAAGAATCTTCACAAAAATGCTAATTTTGTGCCGTGGCCAAGGACGATGGCGCCGGAGACCCAACATGCCTTGAGCCGTGACGTCGGTCCACGTGTATTCCTATGTTCAAAACACGCGGCACCGCCCCCACTCACCACACGGCACGGAAGGCGGGCCCACTGGATTTGAAGCCACTGCAGTGGGCGTGGTTTCTATATATTTAGCTTTACACTTGGCGACACATTTAGATTTAACATTTAGATTTAACATTTAGATTTAACATTTAGATTTAACATTTAGATATAGATATAATATTTAGATATAACCATTTAACATTTAGATATAGATATAATATTTAGATTTAACATTTAGATTTAACATTTAGATTTAACATTTAGATTTAACATTTAGATTTAACATTTAGATTTAACATTTAGATATAGATATAATATTTAGATATAACATTTAACATTTAGATATAGATATAATATTTAGATATAGATATGTCTTAAATGTGAGGAAAATGTGCTAAATGTGAGGAAAGTGAGCTAAATGTAGAAAAATTTTCAGCTAAAAATTTTTAACAGAATTTGTACAATCGGCACCCCATACATAGGCACATGTCCTCATCAATTTCAAGAGGATCCGCGGCAGCACCTGACCCACTCACCTCTGTCCAGTGATTGGCTGTCTTCCTCGCTTGTGCAACCAGCTGATATGTGCACTTATTGATAAAATAGATAGTTAGCTAGCGACTTCTCGACTAGCAATGCCAGTCGAGTAAAGTCCGACTGGCATCAATTTCTGAAAAGCGATTAGTGAAGCCATGTAGGCAGTGTCAAGAAAGGTGAGTTTTGTTTTCGCTGCGCGTCGTACAGTCGTAACTTTTTGTGGACCTATCAACCATTCAACGCATTTACGTATTTCCTAATCTCTTAATTGCACTGGGAACCTCAAACTGCCCACATGTAGAGACCGCCTCCATTAAAGAAACAGGTAGGTTTAAGACTGATAAAATACCCACAGTGCTCTTATCATCCAAATTATTCACACATTCACTTCCATCCTCAAGGCACATTGTTGGTGTCTGCCAGAACAAAAGTGTGAGAGGCAATCCAGGAAGTTTGCACATTTCAGAAATGTATGATGCGTGGCTGATGATTCAACACAAAACTCAGAAGCTCTGATCCAATTGATTGTATTCAAACTATTTTAGGCCCCAGTGAATGTCCCACAAACCAATATACGTCCTTGCTCTCTGGTCTCTGGTCTCTCTGAGGTCATATATGTGTGTCTCAGGAATCGAGGGCATAGTGGAGGCGTACCGGCGGGTCATCCCTCAGGTCAGACTCTCAGGTCCCACAAACTTCAGCCCCATCATCAGCCATGTGGCAAGCATCGCATCAGGAGCCGCTACCCACAACACTGCAGCTGTGAGTATAAGTGCTAGTACTGCTGCTGCTATTACTACAAGTATTTGAGGACCGAGCCACCACAGGGTAATAATGACAAACCCAAACCCTGACGAGGCAACTGCAGACGGACATGAGCTTTAATCTGGTACATATCTGCGTTAGATAGACAGATACTTTAAAAATTCAGGTGTCCAGTAGCAGCAGAAACACATCCAATCATACAAACAAAACAAATAAATTGATAATTCTAAAAATAGCTAACAATGGTTTTAAAATGCAACAGCACTTTAGGTCAAAGCAGCAGAGATGAATGTTGCTGTGCACTGTACCTTTAAATAAAGACTAAACTAAAACAGGACCTGGTATGATTCCCGGTACGAGACGGCAAATATGTTTTTTGTTCTTCTGCAACAGTACTCTGTCCTCCTCATCCTCAATGATGTCTTTGTGTGTTAGCATGTTAGCATATATTAGCATGTCTTAGTTCTTTTAGTCAGGAGACCAGGGCGACAGTAGCTCAGTAGAGCATTGGCATTTGAGCCAAAAGGTCATGGGTTCGAGCCCACCTCAAGACTTTCACCATCGTCTCCCACTGTCTGCTGTCGTTGTGTCCTTAGGCAAAACACTTCACCCCCATTGCCTAGAATGAGTCTGGTGTGTGTGTGAATGGTTGGTGGTGGTCGGAGGGGCAGATGGCACATACTGGTTGCCTCGCTTCTGTCAGTGTGCCCCAGGGCAGCTGTGGCTACAGAAGTAGTTTATCACCACCGTGTATGGAGTGAAAGAATGACTTGTGAAGCGTCTTTGAGTGTCCAGAAAAGCGCTATATAAAACCGATGCTTTATTATTATAATTATTTATTTTACAGCAGTACTTCGTCCTCCTCATCCTCACTGACGGAGAGATCACAGACCTTGATCAGACACGTGACGCCATTGTGCGAAGTTCCACCCTCCCGCTGTCAATCATTATTGTGGGTGTGGGGCCAGCCGACTTCAGCGCCATGAAGCTATTGGACGGAGATGACGGCGTTCTGCGGTCCACAAGCGGCGAGAAAGTCCACCGTGACATTGTCCAGTTTGTGCCATTCAGAGACTTTGAAGAGGTCAGTACTCTCGTTTCACTCAGTAATATCGGTACTTCCAGTCCTCCTAATACTCTCAATACTTTCCGCAGGCTCCCCTTGCTGCTCTCGCTCAGTCGGTTTTGGCCGAAGTTCCATCGCAGCTTGTTTCCTACTTCAAGATGAGAGGAATCCAGCCAATCAAGAAATGAGACAAGAGATCAGGGACGAAATACCAGGGACCATAGACCATGGACCATAGACCATAGACCAAGGACCAGAGATTAGAAACCAGAGACCAGGGACCAGAGAGAGATCAGACTATTTTCCACGATCGATATTGTCAAACATCAGTGAAATGTGTCAAAATGATTAGAAAAAAATGCACTTGTTTTTGTATTTTCTTTGTAAATGTCTCACATTAGAGCGAGAGGACATGCCTTAGAAAAGCCCTCAGCCCAAAGAAGCACATGACGACTTCCATGGTCTGTTTACAATAGACCGATATAATGTAGAAAAAACATTTACTCATGTTTTTGCTCAGATAAACTCTGGACCAGGTCAGACCTGACAGCCCTATCCCTAACCCTGGGGCCTAACCCAGGAAACGTACTGTGGATTTAAGACTATTGTGACCGACTAAATTCTTCACAATTGTCTTTTATTTTTACATTTAATTTTGTTATTAAACTTGTGGCGTGAAGTTTGTTGTAAATGTAGTTCCAGTTTTGGTCGAGACAATCATTCTGTGCCATTGGGAAACACTTCATTGAACAATGTGTTGACGTCATGCTCGGTCATTCTACTCATACACACTCTATGGTTAGCACATAGGCGCTTTGCTAATCAGGTTGTAAAATAATTGAAACAGATTGACCACAACTGGAACTCAGTCATTTACAATCATTCTGCTGTTTTTGTTTAAAAGGGGACTAAAGATTTACGTTTGAACCAATCAGAGTGCAGCTGAGATGTGAGGAGCCAATCAGAGAAGTAAAGTGTTATTAGTATCTTTGGTCTGTTAGTGCTTTGCCTTCAGCTCGTAGCCTTTAGAAGTTAGCGCTCATGAAAATGCACTTTTTCCTTAATGCAATATCAGCTTCTATGCAGGAAAAAACCACTGCTGCCTTAGACAAATGCTCCATTCTGAAATTAGATTAAATATATATGCATGAGATAATTTGGATATATTAAAATATTTCTATCATTTATATAGAATAGTTTTAAAGTATCAAACAATGACGTTCACTTTGTGCCACTTTAGTTTTGCCCATTTTTCTGAAATGCTGGATATGTATTTTTGCTGCTTTGAAAATCTGCCAAAAACCAGGATCTCACCCTTTACTCTGAAGTTCAGGAGCTAAATGGTGTGATTTGGTCAATAATGTGCCTTTCTTATAAAAAAATAGAGATAAATCTTGTTTGGCTCAGGTGTTTTTTTTTCAGAGGCATTAAATTAACTCCTGTGTCGACTTTCTCTGTAAAGTTCAAAGCTCATCTTTTTTTCTATATATTAGGGAAGAACTTCCCCTTCTTTGCAACACTACCTGCTCCAGAGATGGACTTAAACGTGTACGAGACATGTACGAGCCCAGTTCTCCACATGCAAGCTCTTGACTGTCGGCATCACTCGCACAAGCTCACTTTCCAAGATTTTTCCATGTCAGATAATATGACGCAGATAACTAACTGGAAGTGATTCTAAATTAATTTCTCCAAATAAAATGCCAAAGCTTCAGTGGGAAGCACAGCCTAGGCTTTCAGCACACGCCATCGTGTGAAAGAATCTCCAAAAAACGCTCTGGTCTTGTTTGACGATCACGTATGACGGCCTCATGACACATATCAGAATGATCGACAATTAGGAGGACCAATAGTCTTGAAACCACCCGGGGAAAAAGATCCTCATACATTTAAAGTAATTTTTACTGTTGCTCCAAATGAAAAAAACGTTAACAAATAACAAATGTAACCTTTAAGAATATTTACCTCCACCTTGTTTTTGAATTGTCATAAACTTAGAATTTGACTTATAATAGCACATGAGAGCTGGAGTCCTCTCCATGTCAATGCGGCATCTTTAAATACATTGGTTGATGAGGGACAAAAAGGATGCGAGAATCACGTTTTCGTTTCACAGGTGCTACTGATATTGCTGCTTCCACCATGCCCTGACAAGTTTGAAAAGGGATCATGGAGGACCACCGTTATGTAAAAGAAGAACCCCAACAAGAATCTTTTAGAAAAAGAATTATGCAAATATATAAAAACTGGTGTCATAACAGCAAACGTGTCAACATCATAAACCACACGCACCGAAAGGCAGAGTCAAAATTACAAAAGGCATTGCTGTAGTTTGTACACAACAAACTCACATGTGCACAATACGTAACTTTCTTCTCACCGACAGCAATGAGAACGAGGCAGAATCTGCAACACTGGTGTTCAGGATGTTCTATGCTGCTCCGAGCGAAACTACTATGTCCACAAGTTTCAACTAAACTTAAACAGGGGAAAAGCTGCAAATATGCAAAACAGACAGATTCCCTGCAAAACAATCATCAGAATACCGTTTATCAACAGTGAGAGTTTGAATGTTCTGTTTTCTTACCGTGATGTGGATGGGCACATGGTGAAAGCGAATAATAATCTGAGCTTTTAACCACAGTTCTGGCTAAATCTCCTTTCGGTCAACACCCAAAGATCATGACCAGAGGCGAGGGTGTCATAGAATCATTGTGTGTGAAAGCGCTAGATAAATAAATCTCCCTCAGCAGCAGTGTCTGAACCATTATCATAATAGATCCATGGTCTGAACACAGTCATGTTTACATAAACACAACAACGTTTTGAAAATAAAATTTAATTGAAACTTGTACAAAATGAAGATTAGAAAAACAGCTCATGGAGCTCAACCTTTGGACCATCATCAACTTAAACCAATTAGAGCGTACTATGGTCTACATCGTCCAATCAGAGTGCACCAACGTCTATATCGTCCAATCACATCAGCGGCGAAGGGGCGGGGGCAGCAGAGTAGAGGCGGAGACAGCGTCAGGAAACAGGTGGTGATAGGTCGAGAGCGGGACGAAGGCAGCAGCGATCATTTTACCTGGAAACAAACAACAACGTCAGCTATACTGGTTCTACAAACCCAGGGTAGTGTTCTGTCGAGATGGTCTCATACAACGCTGTGGAACGAGCTCTGTGACCCACACGGGGAGGACATTAATGCCATGACAGAGCATGTCACGGACAATATAAACTTTTGTTTTGAGGACACCTGCCCGCACTGTCCGGTGTTTCCCGAACAATAAGCCGTGGATCAACCCTGACATCAAAGCTCTGCTTAAGGACAAAAAGCATGCTTTTAAGTCAGGGGACCCGCTGCAGTTTTCCTACCGGGCATTGGAGTTGAGGACGCCATCATCACCCTCCTCCACCGCTCGCTGTACCACCTACAGAAACCCGGCTCCACTGTGAGGATTCGGTTCTTCGACTTCTCCAGCGCCTTCAACACCATTCAGCCTCGGCTTCTCAGGGACAAGCTGGAGACAGCTGGAGTGGACTACGACCTGTCCCAGTGGATCCTGGACTACCTCACAGACAGACCCCAGTTTGTGAGAACCAGGGACTTAGTGTCCCAGGTCCTGACCTGCAGTGTGGGGGCCCCCAAGGGACAGTCCTCGCTCCGTTCCTCTTCTCCTCTACACTGCGGACACAGACAATGTAGAGGGAGACACAACACGGACGGTTGTGTCCGACAGAAGTTCTCAGACGACTCTGCCATCATCGGACTCAGCTCCGAGGATGATGATACAGAGTACAGGAGTCATACAGGACTTTGTGGACTGGTGTCAGCGGACCCACCTCCTCATCAACGCGGGGAAGACCAAGGAGATGGTGATGGATTTCCGCAGACGTCACTCTGCCGCTCCAGCCCAGGTGAACATCCAGGGAAAGGACATTGAGAGAGTGGACTCTTAAAGTACCTGGGCGTTAATCTGAACCACAATCTGGACTGGACTCACACCGACGCCCTCTTCAAGAAGGGCCAGAGCCGACTCTTCCTGCTGAGGAGGCTCAGGTCTTGGAGTGCAGGGGCCACTCCTGAAGACCTTCTATGGGTCTGTGGTGGCATCAGCCTCTTATACGGTGTGGTCTGCTGGAACAGCAGCATCAGGAGATGGACAGGAAGAAGCTGGACAAGGTCATCAGGAAGTCCAGCTCAGTCCTGGGCTGGACCTCCTGGGCAGAACCAAACCCAGTGCAGCAGGTGGGGGACAGGAGGGTCCTGGACAAACTAACATCTATGCTGGACCATGACTGCCCCCTGCAGGACACTCTCTGCTCTGGAGAGCTGCTTCAGTGACAGACTAATTCACCCTCGCTGTATGAAGGAGAGGTTGCGTAGGTCTTTCCTTTTCTGCTGTCAGACTGTACAATAAGAACTGCTGAGCCTGTAAATTACATTCATCTGTTAATAAGTAAATACTAAAATCATGCAGCAATGTGCAATACTGCAACTTCAGAATATCCACTGAAAAATGTCACTTTACTTATCTACTTATTATCCTGCCCTATATGTACTGTATAGAACTCTGCATTACTACATATATACAGTGCCTTGCGAAAGTATTCGGCCCCCTTGAACCTTTTGCCACATTTCAGGCTTCAAACAAAGATAAAAAAATATTTTTTGTCATGAATCAACAACAAGTGGGACACAATCGTTAAGTGGAACGAAATTTATTGGATAATTTAAACTTTAACAAATAAAAAACTGAAAAGTGGGGCGTGCAATATTATTCGGCCCCTTTACTTTGAGTGCAGCAAACTCAGTCCAGAAGTTCAGTGAGGATCTTTGAATGATCCAATGTTGTCCTAAATGACTGATGATGATAAATAGAATGCACCTGTGTGTAATCAAGTCTCCGTATAAATGCACCTGCTCTTTGATAGTCTCAGGGTTCTGTTTAAAGCGCAGAGAGAACCATGAAGACAAAGGAACCCACCAGGCAGGTCCGAGATACTGTTGTGGAGAAGTTTAAAGCCGGATTTGGATACATAAAGATTTCCCAAGCTTTAAACATCTCAAGGAGCACTGTGCAAGCAATTATATTGAAATGGAAGGAGTATCAGACCACTGCAAATCTACCAAGTCCCGGCCGTCCCTCCCAACTTTCATCTCAAACAAGGAGAAGAGTGATCAGAGATGCAGCCAAGAGGCCCATGATCACTCTGGATGAACTGCAGATAACTACAGCTGAGGTGGGAGACTCTGTCCATAGGACAACAATCAGTCGTGCACTGCACAAATCTGGCCTTTGTGGAAGAGTGGCAAGAAGAAAGCCATTTCTCAAAGATATCCATAAAAAGTCTCGTTTAAAGTTTGCCACAAGCCACCTGGGAGACACACCAAACATGTGGAAGAAGGTGCTCTGGTCAGATGAAACCAAAATCAAACTTTTTGGCCACAATGCAGAACGATATGTTTGGCGTAAAAGCAACACAGCTCATCACCCTGAACACACCATCCCCACTGTCAAACATGGTGGTGGCAGCATCATGGTTTGGGCCTGCTTTTCTTCAGCAGGGACAGGGAAGATGGCTAAAATTGATGGGAAGATGGATGGAGCCAGATACAGGACCATTCTGGAAGAAAACCTGTTGGAGTCTGCAAAAGACCTGAGACTGGGACGGAGATTTATCTTCCAACAGGACAATGATCCAAAACATAAAGCCAAATCTACAACGGAATGGTTCACAAATAGACATATCCAGGTGTTAGAATGGCCAAGTCAAAGTCCAGACCTGAATCCAATCGAGAATCTGTGGAAAGAGCTGAAGACTGCTGTTCACAAACGCTCTCCATCCAACCTCACTGAGCTCGAGCTGTTTTGCAAGGAAGAATGGGCAAGAATTCCAGTCTCTCGATGTGCAAAACTGATAGAGACATACCCCAAGCGACTTGCAGCTGTAATTGCAGCAAAAGGTGGCGCTACAAAGTATTAGCGCAAGGGGCCCAATAATATTGCACGCCCCACTTTTCAGTTTTTTATTTGTTAAAAAAGTTTAAATAATCCAATAAATTTTGTTCCACTTCACGATTGTTTCCCACTTGTTGATTCTTGACAAAAACATAATTTTTATATCTTTATGTTTGAAGCCTGAAATGTGGCGAAATGTTGAAAGGTTCAAGGGGGCCAAACACTTTCGCAAGGCACTGTATATATTTTTGGTATTGAAGCATATTACAGCATCTACAGCTAATTAAGAAACATGTCTACTACTTATTTTGTATATTTTGCTCCCTGTGTGCTCTTACTACTGTCCTGTATGTGCACAGCAACATCGAAATTTCCCCACTCTGGGATGATTAAAGGAACTCTTATCTTATCATTTCACAGACATAATGGCGATGCCCGCTTGCTGTGGCTCAACACCCGCTAACTTACAGTTGGTCTATCAGGTTGATAACATTAATCTAATCGGTTTGTATAAGATATTTAAGGAATGGGTTGTAATGTTCAGGTGACGTGGTAAAGTAACGTCTCCAAAAAACAGTTGTTGCAAATCACTATACATTTAGGCTTTGCATGTTATGTACAGGACCATCACATGTTAAATATTTATAGCAGGACAGTATAGTTGTTGGTAACGTTACACATTGTTGGGCTCTATCATTTGCAGTTTAGATGCATCTACCTCTGCAAGATAGACAAAAACATATTACAAATACTTTTTTTCCCCTAACAGTGCCTGTAACCTTTAAATATAATTTATGTTTGCATTGGTAATGCACACATTTTCAAAGTATGATAATTATTATCATCATGCTCTTCTAGTATTTTCAATGTTGACGAGGGGGGAGGGGTAAAAGACTAATTGACATATACAATTCAATTTGACATTTGTGACCTACTCATCAATTCTGTTGGTCTACAGTTACTTGGCAAAATGTTTTTGGCACTACAATAAATAGATAAATAAGCCGCACCTTACTATAAGCCACAGCGTTCAAAGTGCGGGAAAAAAGCCGCAGCTTACGGTCTGAAATGTATGGTACATTCATTAAATTGCATTTACTACTTATATTGTTAACTGACGGACAAGTGGATGTCGAGTTAACCTCTGGAAACACATGCTGGAAAAGAAAGCCGTTGGCCCAACAGAACACCGGCTCTACACACTTGGAGTGTGGGTCTCACCTGCGAAGTATCTCCCGTGCAGAGCTGTGACTGTCGCCATGGCAGCAGGGATAGAAGGACACTTCACATAAACATTCCCCTAAAACAGAACATAAAGGTGAGCGTGTGGGTGCGCGTGTGTGCGCGTGCGTGCGTTACCTCTGCAGAGTTGCGGTCCACATAGATGTGCACCACTCCTCCGTGTTTGTTGCATTCTTCAATGACATCAGCCTGAATCTCCAGCTCCCAGCCCGGCGGCTCCTCACTGAGGAACACAGCTTTATTAAATAATAATTTATAATATTAAAATACATTAAAACAACTGTAAACAGGACTACTGGGGTTGAACACCTGTATACTGGCCTCCTGGGGTTGAACACCTGTATACTGACCTGCCGGGGTCAAACACCCGTATACTGACCTGCCGGGGTCAAACACCCGTATACTGACCTCCTGGGGTCCAACACCCGTATACGGACCTCCTGGGGTCAAACACCCGAATACTGACCTCCTGGGGTCCAACACCTGTATACTGACCTCCTGGGGTCAAACACCCATATACTAACCTCCTGGGGTCAAACACCCGTATACTGACCTCCTGGGGTCCAACACCTGTATACTGACCTCCTGGGGTCCAACACCTGTATACTGACCTCCTGGGGTCCAACACCTGTATACTGACCTCCTGGGGTTGAACATGTTGGAGAGCTGGAAGCAGTGAGTCGCTACAGGAGGAGCTGCTATGGGGAGACCCGGACTCAGACCGGGGAGCCCTGAGGTGAATCCAGGCGAGAGTCCTGGAGTTAGACCTGGAGTGAGACCAGGGGGAAGACCTGAAACAGAGCAGTGAGGGGAACTGTCATGTACAGAGTAAACCAGAGGACTGGTCTGGTCTGGGTGAGTGTCTGTACCCGGGATGGCCCCACTCATCTGCAGAGCTTGTTTAGCAGCAGGAGGGATCTGCAGCCCCGTCCCTGGAACAAAAGGGGAGACCGTATGAGTCAGTACTTCCTACCTCTCTGGGTTTAACCTTCAGCCCCCAGTATAAGTCACATTCTGCCTCTCCGGGACTTACCCTCAGCCAGCCGGGCCATCAGCTGCAGTCGGCCCGTGGCTCCCAGATCGATGCCTGTGCGCTCCAGCTCATCGTTGTCAAGGAATGATGATGCAAGCATCGGGTCGGTGCGCTCAGTCACATGACCCACCTTCATGGGACGACCTGCCAGCTCGAACCCGTTCAGCTGCTCCATGGCCTTCTTAGCACACTCACAGTCTGAGAACTGAAACAGGGAACTGTCACTCACAGCGAGAGGGTACAAGCACCACTCACCCAGACACTGGGTGACACAGCAGCAGACAGTAACGCAGAGCAGAGGGCACTCACGCAAAGCAGCGGGCACTCACGCAGAGCAGCGGGCACTCACGCAGAGCAGCGGGCACTCACGCAGAGCACGCAGAGCAGCGGACACTCACGCAGAGCACGCAGAGCAGCGGACACTCACGCAGAGCACGCAGAGCAGCGGACACTCACGCAGAGCACGCAGAGCAGCGGACACTCACGCAGAGCACGCAGAGCAGCGGCGGGCACTCACGCAGAACAGCGGGCACTCACGCAGAACAGCGGGCACTCACGCAGAACAGCGGGCACTCACGCAGAACAGCGGGCACTCACGCAGAACAGCGGGCACTCACGCAGAACAGCGGGCACTCACAGTGGTGTAAACCCTAGTTAAACTCTGTATGTTGGACCTGGTGTCCACGTTGAGACGCTGTGGCTGATTTACTAAATTAACTTATGAAGACTTCCTTAAACAGACACCATTATACATAAATTACGATGATGATGGTATGAGGGTAAACGTACAGTGATGAAGCCGTATCCTCTGGAGCGCCCAGTCTCATTATCCATCATCAGCTGAATGCTCTCGATCTGAAACGCAGTATGTGATAACAATTATGAAAATGGCGGTCAGGTGAATATCTTATTTTTTGTTAGGCCTGTAGGAGACAAACATTATTTGTTTTTCATTGCTGCAAAATAAATAATAATAATTATGCTGTGCATGATAAATATTACACATTGACATTAAATTACATTTAGGATTTATTGAAAATATCAGAGCACTTACTTTCAGACTTCAAAAACCGATAATCCAGAAAAAGTAAAAACCTGCCTTTCTTTGCAAAGACTGAAAGAAACGATCGGCAAATCAAAGACATTCATCCAGCTCCAGTGTGTGACGATTCGTGTGATGTGATTGATATCGAACAAACAGTGCTATTAGCAAGAATCTGAACTCGACAAAAATCTGATCTTTAATGTTTTTCAACAATTTCATAAACGCAATACAATCGAAGTTAAACTTAAAGCACCAAATATGGTATAGCAGAATCACGTGGTGCGTCATTCTCTCCGGGATGCGCATATGTATGTGTAACCTATACTTGACCATTTAGATAGGAGGCTCCATCAATCCTTTTTCTTCCCCTTAATCCATTTCTGGGTCGGGGGGGGGTGGCAGTCAGAGCTGCACCCAATTCCCTGATCCTCCTGCAGGTGGTGAGTCTACAAGAGAACAGCTGCTCTAGTCTGGGCTGCCTTGATCTTTCAGCGGGGCTTCAGGCAAAATGGGGTTAAGTGTCTTGCCCAAGGACACAACCACAGCAGAAATCAGTGGGAGTCGTGAAGTAGGTCTCGTGGTGGGATTGAACCCACGACCTTCAAGCCCACCTACACACTGCCTTCATATAAGCCTTATATTTTTTTGGTCAAATATGTTTCTTGGAAGATTTTGGGTGGGCGACAGCTACATTCCTTTTTGCTAGAGCCAGTTTCCTTATGTGCATTTGTTCCGCAATGTATTCTGTGATGTAATAGTAGTATTGTCGTTGTAGTACTTGAGTAGCAGGAGTACTCACCCTCCCAAAGGGCTCGAAGATGCCCCTCAGCATGTCCTCCGTGATGTTGAAGTGCAGGGAGCCCACATAGAGCCTCATGGGCCCCACGGAGCCTCTCTGCATGGAGCAGGCAGCCGCTGCAGCCGCCGCACGGTTCTTCTCCGCCTGCAACACATGGAAAACTCTGGTCTTCAGACTCACGGTCTGCTGCACCCGAGTCTGCTGCACCCAGAGTCTGCTGCACCCAGAGTCTGCTGCACCCAGAGTCTGCTGCACCCAGAGTCTGCTGCACCCAGAGTCTGCTGCACCCAGAGTCTGCTGCACCCAGAGTCTGCTGCACCCAGAGTCTGCTGCACCCAGAGTCTGCTACCCCAGTCGTAGCAGCAGTACCTGTGATGCCTGGACAATGATGGGCACTCCCAGCAGCCTCTGACCCGTCAGCCCGATGGCCAGAGGAACAGAGCTGGTGTCCACAAACTCGATGTACGCGATTCCTTTAGAACGACGAGAGTTTCTGTCCGAGATGATCCTGACGTCACGAACCTGAGCAGTTCACACCACAGTACTGTTCAAACACACCACTGCAGCGTTCAAACACACCACAGCGTTCAAACAGTGACAGCAGAGCGGCGCTCACCTTCCCCACAGCAGAGAAGAAGTCCTCCAGGTCTCGTGGTCGGATCCTCGCTGCCAGCTGCATACAGAACACTGTCCTGGCATCTCTCTCCTCAGGACTCAGGTTATCTATAGGGGCTCTGAAACACACATCCAGAGAGAAACACACACGTTAATCCTTCATGCTCCTTTTTACTAGGAGCAGCTCAGAGCTCTAGAATTAATGTATTACTTCTAGTGTTACTTATACAGGGTTAGCCTCAGGCAGTGGCAGGAGCCTCAGGTAGTGGGAGGAGCTAATATGGTTTACATCAGGTCAAAAGAGAGCTGTAATTGGGCCAACATACTTAAGTCTGGCCCAAACTTTCTGCCAGAGCACAAGCCAGCTAACTTTTTATAGTGTGTGCTCGATGCAGTAATGATTTGTGCTCGCAAACCCAGTAATGGAAGTCTAAGGCATACAGAGAATTGTGACCGTGTGTCTCGGTCTGCTGCTGGCTGTATTTCAATAGAATCCAACACGCAGGCCTCTTAAAAGACCAGAGTAAAGAATTTTGTTTAAACCTATTTTCCGAACATACCCAAACGCGACCCAGACAGAACTGACTGGGCTCTAGGTCAGAAAAGGACTCTACTCCACAGGACACAGACCTGATTGGGCTCTTCTCCTTCCTCACAGGACTTTTACTGCGAGATCTGCGCCGTCTGAAACAAACAAGACTTTATTTTACTTGCTTGGCCCTGGTCAGCCCAGAGCAGTACAGGAGCAGATTGAACAAGCTGGTCAGGAGGGCCAGCTCCACTCTGGGCTGCCCCCTGGACTCTGGAGGAGGTGAGGGACAAGAGGGTGCTAGTCAAAGTCACCTCAATCATGAACAACACCTCCCACTGTACAGGACTGTAGAGGAGCTGAGGAGCGGAAGACTGAGACACCCTCAGTGCAAGAAGGAGCGCTACCGCAGGGCCTTTATCCCCACCGCTATCAGACTGTACAATGAGTCACTTTAAGTCACTTGCACTAGGACTAAAAACCTGCACTACTATTGCTACGGTTTCTTTTATTGCAAAATTTTATTGTACATAATATATCCTGCACAAAATATAATTTTTGTCTTTAACATGTTTTCACACTTGTCATTTGCAAAAATCTTCAGTGATTCTATCCATGCCAAATGTGACATGCAAATTTCCTGTGTGAGATCAATCGTCTCAAACATATCTCTGAATTATATTGGCCTTTAACAGGACGAATATAGCGCCCCCTCTGTCCCTCTATAGTACTCCAGTTTCCCCTACCACTAAAAACCTGTGCAATAGGTCTAGCATTTTCCTCCTGTACTGGCGACCTCCTCTCTGTGTGGAGTGAGGACAAATGCCAACAATTGTAAACCTCTTTGTGACTCTGATCTGTGAAAGGCGGTATATAAATAAAGATTACTTACTTACTATACAACATATAACAATATTTTTTACAGGATAAATAACCCTCCAATACAAAATTCACTTTTTTTTTATTTAACCTCAAAGAGGAGTTAGTTCAAGTTGGAACAAAGTGCTTCAGTCACATTTGTTTTACTTTCCCATTTTTGAAGAACTTATACATATTGCCTTCTCTTCATTACTCAACTCAATGTACAAATAGGAACTAAGTGCTTGTGCAACATTTAATTCAGCCGTTTTCTCCATAGTACACAGTCGACTTTAATGCCCCACTAATTAAAGAACCGGGGTTACATTAAGCCTCAAGTGTCTATGAAGCTGCCTATGAAGTTCAGAGTCTCTGGTATGAAGCCACGTTGTAGGAAATGCCACAGACTCTGAAGCTACACCACCTTCTTTTCTACTCTAAACACTTTAAGACAATTTTGTTTCCTCCAAGCACGTTTACAGCAGTCTCTGCTGCTGGCTAAGCAACGCCGCTGCTGTGTTGAATGAGACACACACAAGGAGAGGGACCAAGAGGGAGCTAAAGGAGGAGGGCGCGAGCGCAGCACAGCGAAGGCAAACAGGCAAAAGTGAAATAGAGCAAGTATTTCGATAATGTGAAAAAGTGTATCGTCTAAAGTTATTTTTGCGATATTATCTCCGATGATAATTATCTCTTACAATAATTATCGCCCACACCTGCTCACACATGTCCTCTGCAGTACTCACACATGGTCCCTATAGCGCCCTCCTCTGTCTCTCTCTTTGCTCTTCTTCCTCTCTTTGCTCCTCTTCCTCTCATGGCTCCTTTTCCTCTCTCGACTCCTCTTCCTCTCTCTGCTGCGGCTCCGTTTTTTACTGCTGTGGAGGAAACACAGGTCTGTGTGAGGGCAAGTTAAAGCTGTTCTGTATATATAGTGAAACCCTCTAAACTAAGGGCTTTCAGCTCATCTCTAAAACAACAGCAAGGACTTCAGCAGGCACAAAATGAAGATAATATGCAACTCTGGTGTTCAATCAACTGGCTTCTGTGAAGAATGGAAAAACATTCAACCCTTGGGCTACCCCTGCGTCAAAATTACCTGCCACAGTGATTCAAATTGGAAGAAAAACACCCTAAATTTGGGACTAAATGTCACAGGGCTGGTCAAGTTAAGAAAAGTAATCAAAATTCAGCTAGAAAAACATAGGGTACTTTTTAATCACTCTGGCAGGTTAATTTGCCTGAGGATAGCAGAAGATTTAAAGGAGCTATACCTGTTTCTGCAAGGTGAATGTTTAGCACTGCCCCTCATCTCGCTCACAAGCTTCTCATTTCCCCTACGCTCTCCTGCCACGGAGCCATCTAGTTTTATTTACAATATGATACATATACAAACATTAGTATGACCGCAACTTCTTGTAAGCTATACAACAATCACTGATGAAATGGTACAAAAGCAAAGCACTGCTAACAAATGTTATAACTGATAGACCCTCACTGTTGTGTCGTTTGGGCTGTTTTGCAGTGTCTGCAGTCACAGCCAGAGGAGTTATAGCCAATTCTGCTAACATGCTACTGTGTTTAGCAGTGCTGTAGAAGCTAGAGGATGCAGCGTGTTTTCTCCTCGTTCAGTGAGTGGAGAGCTGGCGTCATGCTAAGTCACTACTCAGCAATTTTTACGGCCTAAATTCATACAAAAGCTGAATCAATCAGCTCAAGTTTTCAATTAAATTACGTATCATAATAAAACTTCTATGTAGTAATAAGCATTTTCATGAACTCAAGAAATTATATTTCATCTCCCCCCTCCCTCCTCCTCACCTCCTGCTGCGGGGCTCATGGTCTCCATCTCCTTCTTCCTATGACAAACAACATGAGAAACAAAAGCTTTAGTCATACAATGTGAGAGCAGTTCACACACTTAATCTGAAAGCATAGTTACAGTACCTTCCTGTTCCTGTAGGGGGCCTCCAGCATGGCCTCAATGTCGAAGTCGTCCGCCATCATCAAATCTGGAAAATAAACAAGAACGTGTATGAGCAAGTGTCCAACATGCGGCCCACGGGCTTCCAGGACATCCTCCAGGTCATGGAAAGTCTTCAAAGCCCATCTACACCTGTCTGGCACGGCTCGGCTTAGAATATGGCCCTGTGTGGGTAACCACAACAAACTAGTATGTATGGTAACTCCAGCAGCACTCTGCCCGAACAGGTTCGGTTGGTCTGGTTCCGGAAAGAAAATCCTGGTACGAGTTAAACAGGACTAGACTAGAGTAGAGTAAGGCTGTGGACACAGGTCTGACAGCTGCTTCGGAAACATTATTGGAATTAAACATGAAAATAGTAACATATAATTAGTTCTAACATGTTCGTGCAATGGTTCTGTTGGCGTTTGTGTATCCTGACTCGAGAGACCTCCGAGTGAGGGTTTTCACTACTAATGGCTACACACCAAGTCCTCACTTTACAAATGAATGAACCTGGAACAGGACTTTTAGGTCCCGAGCCGTTAGCATCAAGAGCTAACCACAACACAACAGTACAAGACTACAACTTCATCCGATTTAAACAGGGTTGTAATCCACGTTACAAGGCTTTAACTCTGATAAATTACTATGGCTAGCTAAAATGTAAAATGATTCAGAACCCCGCAGACAGAAGTTTCCGTAGCATTAGGACATGTTTACAGGGACAGGTGCTGGTGTTACATCAAGAAGGTCTGATAACTGCAACAGGATTTCTTTAGACATAACTTTACAAATAATTTGCAAGTCTCAAAGTGTGATAAACACAGTATAATAGCATGTTGTGTCTTTTTATTTGAGCTACAGCTGAATAACTTCGTACAGCGTGGATATCCTGTTCTGTTAGCATCAGTTAGCTTTGGCCGTTAACTCAGGGCCCTGTTCCCGGCTCTACTCGCCCTTCTGTCGGGGTACAAGGCTCAGCAACGGGTCAATGTGTGGGCCTCACCTGTATGTGTGTTGTGTGAAGACAGCCGCGGGGTCAGACCGGGTTTAGTCCTGGTTTAGTCCGGGTTCAGTGACACGGCGGCTCCAGCGCGCTCTGAACAGGACGCGCAAATCCCGCGAGAAACAAAACGAGTTTTCGTGAGACTTTGAGATTGAGTTTGATATTATATTACATATTATTAAATATATAATAACAATAAGTACAAAGACGCGTTTTGTTCAGCCCGAAATCACAACAGCAGACTCACTGGTCAAAAAGACAGATGAACTACTGTTAATACTACCGCTATTACTACTACTATTCTTCATATGAAAATAACCTCTCAATGTGCAGTAAGAAACACTGAGAGGACAACGGATTTTCTAATCTGCTGTTGGCAAATTAACCCTTTATGAAAGGTTACGGAAGTCCTTTGAGTCGATTGCTGCTGTTGTGTTGGGAAACAATTAAATGACTGTTAACAACCACAAATAAAGCACAGACCTGACTTTATTATTATCAATTATTTATTTACAGAGAAACTGGAAGACAAGGTTACCAAAATAACTGGTTCTGTGAAGAACCAAGGGCTCAACAGTCCTCATGCAGACACACCTGTGTCCAACAGGGCGCTATAGTCCTACTGCAGACACAGGTGACCAACAGGAAAAACCTTCTCCAACAGTGAGGCTCTGGAGGTCACCCTCAGTTACAACGTTATTCAGATGTCGTCTTGTTCGCAGCGTTCTTTGGACGAGACCCACCGGCTCAGCATCACCTCCTGAACACACACACACGTTAATATCCTTTGCGCCTCTGGACTTGTCTCTTGCGCTGTTGAACGGATACTGAGAGCTCGTCATTAAACGAACACGCATGTTCAGACACAGATACACACCTGCACACGGAGGCGCCGCAGACAGTCAGGTGACTCCAGCTCAGCTTCTGATTGGTCCACAGGGAAGATGATGTAACACAGCAGCAGCTCCTTCACATAAAACAAGCTGTTCATGAATAACATTATTAGTATAAATGCTACAATTGTACAACACACAGTCAGCTGTACCTTGGACACATTGGCTGTGACTCGGCTCAGCGCCGACAATGAACGCCACGTGAACGAGCGCAGAGAAGAGTCTGTGAGAGCGCCACCTTCAGGCACTCCGTCCTCCCTCATCCTCTGCACCACCAGAGAGTAACTGCAGGACAAGCATATAAACACAAACTGTAGCGATCCATTGTAATGTGCTCAGGTCATCTGCTGTAGTTTAGGAATTAGGTCACTGGGTTTGTCAGACTGTTGGAAACGCTCACATGGTTTATTACTGCGTGTCCTGTTCCAGGACCTTGAATCCAAGGTCACTTCATGTGTGCGTGTGGTGCAGCTACCCATTTTCTGGGGGGTATGCAAACTGAAACCCCCCCCCATGTAAAAATGTCTTACTATTTCATGGCCCACAAATACAGAACTTTTTTTTGGGAGAATTCCTTCAATTTACAGTCTGTATGCTTTCAGGTCAACAATGCAAAAAACAAATGATATTATAGTATAAACAAAATCCCTACTATACATAATAAGATAAATGTATTACAGGTTTTAACAGTGTTTAAAGTGTTTAAGGAGCCACTAAATCGATACATGTTCTTTCTGGTGCTTTATGTTTATCTCCAGCCTCTTTCCTGAATGACATGAGTTGAGAATGATAAAAAATGAAATTCTATGAAACGCTATCCCTGTTGTTTTATTATTTTAGACTCATAACATCACAAAAAATTATTAGGCTATCAATGGAGTGAGATGGTCAAATAAACCCTGAGGGCTTATTTTTCTGTTTCTCCATCTCTCGTCAAGTAAATAATCATTTATTAATAATAGGTAATAATAATTTAAATGTTGTTGCATGTGATGGCGGCCTGTCAAAGCAGGGGGCGCTGATGACTATGGGGTGGGGTTGTCAAGTGCCGCTGAAACAACTGAATGGGTGGTACAAGCTTATATTTATCATTTATTTATTTCCTTTTAGCGTTTTGGCGTCCCCGGTCCTTCGGCGTCCCCAGTGCATATGCCCTTTTTGCGCCACTAGTGTGGTGTGTGTTTGTGTGCGTGCATGTCTGTATGTGTTTGGGGTTTGTAACTCTAGAGTTTGAGCTGTACCTGGCGTGATAGAAGGGAGGGCCTTTACGATATAGCACTGAAACAGAAAACATTTTACACATTTATAAGGTCTACAGCAGGAATAAGGAAGGACTAAAAGGTCTAAAGCAGGACTGAACCAGAACCCACTCATGTCAGATCCATATTTGGCCCCTGACCCGGTCTTGGGGACCCAGCCTCGGCTCCTGTAGAAGTGAAACGCAGAGTAGAGCTCCACAAAGTTCGAACAGAGACTACGACAAGTCTTCCAGAGCTGCAGCACGGAGAGAGGACTCTGCCAAATAGAGGAGAGGAGAGGAGAGAAGTGACCCAGCCAATCAAATAGGAGAGAACAGGCCAATCAGATAGGAGGAGAGAGCCAATCTCTTCTCTGATTGGCCTGTCCAAACCTATCCTCTCTCTGATTGACTGTACCTGTCTGTGGTAAACAGTGAGACATCCAAGAGCAAAAACAAGGAAAAAAACCTGAAACAGAAATATGAGTCAAAGACATGTGAGACATGCTAATGCTAATGTACCATGTAGGACAGATTCCAGTTAGTCAATAATAAACACAACTAAACTTATTTTATATAAAAACAAACACAGTACTGGAGCAACGGTAAAGATGAGCCCTGTGAGGCACAGACACAAGTCTGAGGGAGAAGAGAGAGAGGGAGAGTTAGGGTGAGGGGTCAGGATGAGAGGACAGGGTGAGAGTCAGTTCACAGGGTTAGCTCTAATCACCTCCTCGTAGCTGAGCTGCAGGAACTCTGTGACGCTGATGGGAACTCTACGGATCTGAGATTCAGCAGGTCTCTGAGGAAACATATATACTGTCATATATACACTGTTGTCAGGCTTTGACATTAAGCTTTGTCAGCCACAGCCTTCAGGCAAGTACCATTATATTTTACTTGCCCATTGTCAAAAGTTACTTGCCCAAATATTTCAATACAATGAGTTAACAAGAGTTTGGCACTAAAGTGGCACTAACTGTGGAAAATAATCAACTCTCAGCCCAAAAAGTCAAATAATGAGTCACTTAAGTATACAAAATTAAAAAAAACAAGACGCCTGTCATGGTGTGTTCCGTTTAATTTGTTCACAACATTTTACTTTTGTGCACAACCAACATGCATTTTTAATGCAAGGGGAAATGTAGGTACCTGAGCTTTAATTTCGTGTTAGTCGTTTCGTCGTTAGTTTTGGTTGTGCTTCGGTAGGAGACGCAGGGGAGACCCGCACTTGCAACAAGCTGGGGATGGTTCAGTCTGCGCGTCTTTGGTTCTATCCGCGCGTCTATGGTCCTGTCCGCGCGTCTATGGTCCTGTCCGCGCGTCTATGGTCCTGTCCGCGCGTCTTTGGTCCTGTCCGCGCGTCTTTGGTCCTGTCCGCGCGTCTATGGTCCTGTCCGCGCGTCTTTGGTCCTGTCCGCGCGTCTATGGTCCTGTCCGCGCGTCTATGGTCCTGCCCGCGCGTCTATGGTCCTGCCCGCGCGTCTATGGTTCTGTCCGCGCTTGGTACCATGTTACGGTTGTGCGTTTGCTAAGCTGTTGTCAAAGCAGCTGTCATTACAAAGCGGACGCAGCTGCTCCTGGGGTCAGAACGGAGGATGCAAATAGCGTTTGAGTATATACAGCGAACAACAGTTCCCGCGGTCACACATTTCACAGAAATGGCATTGTCAGCGGAAAAAAGTCAGGAATTGCGGATCCGTGGATAATTGGTCAAAAAAAGTTAAAAAGACGTGTCCACTCCCGGCTCCAGAGGAAGAAATGCGGGAATGTGTTCCCGGCCTGAATGAGTTAAAGTAATACATCACTTGCCCGATCGGGCAACTTGCTAAGACAGCGCACTTGCCCGTCCCAAATCTTTAGTTGCCCCGGGCAAGCGGACAACCGTTAATGTCGAGCCATTGTTTGCATGCAAGATAGGGAAGCATGGAGCAGATTCTGAATGGCCGCAAAAAGCCCTCCCGCAGGAAAATGTAGCTGCACGAGCCCCATTTATTTAACGAGTGCATTCAAAAGTCCTCAGCGGCTGAACTAGGCTGGTCCAAAAAAAAAAAACTCCCCTCAGCATTGACGTACATCTGGAACATCTTGACATTGGGCCAAGAGCCGACTTTTGGACCATCCTGTAATGCTGTTTTCTAGAGGATAAAAGACATAACTAGAATTCAATGGATATTTCTGTTTCCGACTATGCCAAACTGACAAGGATTGACAGATTGCAAGCATGTCAGCGCACAGGCTCATGGACCTTTTTGAGCCAGGACCCTTCCCCACTGGGGTAAACCAATTTTTGCTGTAGGGCCCCTGACTGAAAGTCAACGCGTAAGCCAGGGCCAATGACCCCACCCTGGTGGTTCCTGTAGTCAACTACCGTACTACAGTTATATGTATACTGACAAATATACTGTGATATTTACTGTTATATATTCTGTGAATATATGCTATGATAAATAATGTTATATAGACACTGCTTTCACTGTGAGACTTTTACCTCTGAGTTTGAACGAACCAGGACCACTCCTGAGCCGGGGACTGAGAAACTGGGACCAGGACCAAAACTGGGACCAGGGCTGAGACCATGACTGAGACCAGGGTTGGGACCAGGGCTCGGGCCAGGGCTGGGACCAGGGCTGGGACCAGGGCTGGGACCAGGGCTGGGACCAGGGCTGGACTCTGGTTTGTGGTCCTGATGAAGTTGTTGGACCTCTTCCAGACTCAAATCCTTTGACAGCCACTGCAGTGTTTGATTGACAGACTCCTCAGCCAAGCCCTGAGCAGAGAGCGTAAGCCCTGCCCACCGCAGCAGCTCTTCATATCTGACACAAACAAGTAAACAAGACATAAAAAAACAAGAAAGCAACACACAACACGTATACAACACAAGTAAACGTGTCAACCACCCAAGCTCAGGTGCAGAGCTGAGGTTGTGGTTCTGACCTGGAGCAGGAGACCACGGGCAGCAGAAGTCCTCCATAACCTGAAACAAACAGACTTGGGATCAGTCTGACTGATCTGGGCTCCAACCCACGAGCCGTTTGAGGACCAGGTGTGTTTTCATGTAATAGTTTATGCTGAGATACAGATACTGGACCATATACTTGGCACACCAAATGCAAAATTACCAGGGCGGACATGATTGAGCTCTGTGTGTGATGTCACAGAGCTCAAACTCAGCACAGAGTGTTCTGTGAAGGGGAGGGGCATCACTCACTTTCCCATTGATCCGAAACACTGTGGGCGGGACCAGACTTTGACAGAACTCCTTTTCCAAAGAATCCCTGAAAACACAAGAGACCTGGCTCAGCCCTGGCAACCCAAAGCGTCATATAGACTCACAGGGCTATTTCCGACAGCCTGTTGTGTTATTTTACTTAATGGAGGAAACTTAAACAGACGAAGAACCTGTTTGTAGAGAGCGCGGATGTGGTCCGGGTTTTGGATCAGGACTTGCTGGTTGATGAGATCTGCTCTGAACTGGACTGGGGCCTGGTTCTGGACCGGGTCTAGGTCCTGATTCAGTGGCAGAGGACCCTCGTAGGCCTCATAGACACGGGTCCGTCTCTTCGGAGCTCTGAACTCAGCCTCCATCCAAGTTCTCCTCTGTGGTCCTCCTTTGAGGTCCTCCTCTGAGGTCCCCTAGGTCCTCCCGTCAGACCGCAGACAGTATGTTCAGTATATTTTATCTGCTAACGGTCCGTGAGCGTCTTTCTTTGACGCAAAAGTGGTGTCTGGTTGACGCAATTTTCCTCACGTGGGTTTTGTTTTGGCGGAAATACACTGGTTGTTTCACTGAAAGCGGACCGTGCGATCCGGGAGGAGGACGCGAAGGTTCCATCTTCTTCTTCTTCTTTTGAGGTTTATTAGCAGTTGCCAAACAACCTTGAGGTGCATTACCGCCACCTTCCGAAATGGAGTGTGGGCCAGGACGGCCCCTTCAGTCCTTCAGTTCCCTATATTCTAATCTAGAATAACCCCGAAACGCAAAACTATTCCAATCCCCCCTACCGAATTACACTCACTCAATACTTCCTTTAAAGAAAATGTTCTGTTGCGCTCATTCACATACATCTTAAGCATCTCTCTTGGTCTTCTGTATCTTATGCATTCCATAAGGACATGCTCAACAGTTTCTCTGCCCCCACAGTGCTCACATTGTCCAGTCGGATGTTTTCCCATTAAACTCAATTATTTTATTATGCAGTATTCAAGTACGTATGTCCTCATTTCAATCCATAGACTGTATATATTAACGGACGTCACGCCTATCTCCGCCGTTCTAACTAATGGGCCAAAAATTGGGCTCTATAAAAAAAAAATGGATCTATAATAATATCTGGATAGGGTATCACTAGCTTATAGCTGTCCCACCCACGGGCACAGGGGGCGCCCGTGGTACTGCAGACTAAATTAAATTCACGCGGGCTACCCAGAAAAAAGTCCCATAGAAAATCAATGTAAATTAAAACAGCTCGACCTCAGCTGACAGAGAACCTACAGCTTTCATAAAGGTCGGATTTTGTGGAAATTTTAGTGTCCCTTGTCATCCTGAACTTTTTTTCTTCTTAAATCCTTCGGTTTTGTTTAAATCCACACTTTGCAGCCACAAACTCTGCTCCCTGCCATCCCGCTCTGGCTCCGCTTTGCTGCTCTGATGATCAGCTCTGATTGGTCAGAGCGCGGCCGAGCCAAGCCCCGGCGATCCAAGATGGCGCCCTATTCAAATGAATGGTTGTCATGGATCTATTATAATAACTGGATAGGGTATTACTAGCTTGTAGCTGAATAACTCACGTGCTCAGGGGATTCTCGCGGTACTGCAGACTGAACCAGACTAAATTCACGTGGGCTACCCAGAAATTTTCCCCATAGAACTCAATGCATATTAAAACAGCTCACCCTCAGCTGACAGAGAACCTACAGCTTTAATAAAGGTCGGATTTTGTGGGGATTTTAGTGTCCCTTGTCATCCGGAACTTTTTTTCTTCTTAAATCCTTCGGTTTTGTTCAAATCCACACTTTAGTGCCACAAACTCTACTCCTCTGGCTCTCGCTCTAACTCCCGCTCTGATGAACTGCTCTGATTGGTCAGAGCGCGGCCGAGCCCCTCTGTGCACGTGCGTGAGACCCGGTGTGAGACCCACACACGCGTGTTTGACGCAACGCATTATGGGAGATCATCCACTGCGCAGAACCGGGAGAACCAGGCGATGCCCAAATACAGGCGAGTTTCCCATAGATCTTTGCGAGTTTCAGGCAACTTCCGCTAATCTTTTCAGCCCCCATGCCGTCACAAAGCGCCACTGAGCACAACCATTCATTTGAATAGGGCGCCATCTTGAATCGCCGGGGCTTGATGGTTGTGCCGGAAACCGGATTCGTCCGGAAGTTCAGTTTGATCCAATGAGCATAGCAGCAGTAGATTACGTCACGGAATCTGGATGGAAGCGGAAGTAAATATGAAAAACTACCTATTCATGCCTAAACTTAACCAGCCATTCCCATAAAATAACCCCAACCCAGCCTTAACCCTAACCTTAACCATCTTACTCAGACGCCTAAACTTAACCAGTCACCACTTAAGGACATATTAAACTTTTTGACATGCGCAAACTGAACTTCCGGACAAATCCGGTTTCCGGGACGAATACGGGAGTGACAGCGCTTTGTGACAGCATGGGGGCTGAAAGATTAGCGGAAGTTGCCTGAAACTCGCAAAGATCTATGGGAAACTCGCCTGTATTTGGGCATCATCTGGTCCTCCCGGTTCTGTGCAGTGGATGATCTCCCATAATGCGTTGCGCCAAACACGCGTGTGTGGGTCTCACACCAGGTCTCACGCAACTGCACAGAGGGGCTCGGCCGCGCTCTGACCAATCAGAGCAGTTCATCAGAGCGGGGGTTAGAGCGAGAGCCAGACGGGCAGAGTTTGTGGCACTAAAGTGTGGATTTAAACAAAACCGAAGGATTTAAGAAGAAAAAAAGTTCAGGATGACAAGGGACACTAAAATCCCCACAAAATCCGACCTTTATGAAAGCTGTAGGTTCTCTGTCAGCTGAGGTTGAGCTGTTTTAATATGCATTGAGTTCTATGGGGAAAATGTATGGGTAGCCCACGTGAATTTAGTCTGGTTCAGTCTGCAGTACCGCGAGAATCCCCTGAGCACATGAGTTATTCAGCTACAAGCTAGTAATACCCTATCCAGTTAATATAATAGATCCATGGGCCGAGCCCCTCTGTGCCCGTGAGAGCTGTCACTCCCGTATTTGTCCCGGAAACCGGATTCGTCCCGAAGTTCAGTTTGCGCATGTCAAAAAGAGTAATACGTTCATAAGTGGTGACTGGTTAAGTTTAGGTGTCTAAGTAAGATGGTTAAGTTTAGCGTTAAGGCTGGGGTGGGGTTATTTTATGGGAATGGCTGGTTAAGTCAAGGCATGAATAGGTAGTTTGTTATATTTACTACCGCTTCCGTCCAGATTCCGTGACGTAATCTACTGCTGCGTATGCTCATTGGATCAAACTGAACTTCCGGACGAATACGGGAGTGACAAGAGCCACACATGCGTATTTGGCGCGACGCATCATGGGAGATAATCCACTGCGCAGAACCGGGTGGACCAGACGATGCCCAAATATAGGCCTGTTCAGCTAATCTCCCGGTCCCCATGAAGTTCCATGCGCTACTAAGCACAAGCCATTCATTTGAATATGGCGCCATCTTTGATTACCGGGGCTTGGAAAAAACGCATCTGCGCATGCGTCAGCCGGCACAAGCCCCATTCATTTAAACTAGTGACTTCAAAAATTCATAACGAGTAAACTAGACTGGTCCCAAAAAATTCACTCCCCTCAGCATTGACACACATGTGGAACGGAGCTTTGGGCCAAGAGCCAACTTTTGGACCATCCTGCAATGACGTTTTTGAGAGGTCAACCAATGCTATATCATAGCATTGGCTAATTCTTATTTCGGGTCCACCCCCATCGGCCCGGGGTGGTATTGCAGCATGTCAGCGCACGTCATTTTGGCCACTTTTGAGCCGGGACCCACCCCCACTGTTTCAATCGCGCTATCACGTCTTCCTCTCTCTGGCTGAACTCTCCTCCTATTCACACTTGATGCTACACATTAAAATAAAACCGTCCTTTTTCCTCCTCCTCCCAGCTTCTCTGCCACATCTCTTTAATTATAACTTTGATGACACACTTCGCATCTGCCTTGATTTTAACTGGGAAATCCAGAACCCCACTCCTCGCGCCCTTTTTAGCGTATGACGTTTTGCGATTGGGCCAACAAGTTAAAATTCAAACAAGATTTCTTACGGCCTCCTTTCAGTAATGGCTTTCTTCTCGCCACTCGTCCATAAAGGTCATATTTGTGTAGAGTACAACTGATACTTGTCCCATGTACAGATTCCCTCTGCTCAGCGGCAGTACTTTGCAGCTCTTCCAGAGTCATCTTGGGGCAGTTGGTTGCCTTTCTGAACAGTGCTCTCTTTGTTCGATCTGTTAGTTTTGGTGGACAGCTTCGTCTTGGTAAGTTTGCAGTGGTGCCATTCTCCTTCCATTTCCAAATGATGGATTCAACTGTTTTTCGTGAGATGTTCAAATTGTGGGAAATCTGGTATAACTTAACGCTGCTTTAAACTTCTCCACAACTTTATCCCTGACCTCATCTTCTTCACTTCTTAACCTCCATGATGCTGTGTAGCACCCTCACAGAACAGATGGTCCTTACTTCACTAATCATAAGGGCAAGGTGCGAACCATGCGAACATTCAGCAGTCATTAGGAAGGTTTTTAATCCACATAAAAAACATCACATCAGTAGTGACTCACAATGAAAGTAAAAGTTTTATTTTCATCAAACTCAATACCATATTCCATATTTATCATATCCACAATATCATCAGAGGCATAATACCAAAGTCAAAAGCATTGCCCAATGTCTGGTCTAGTCCTGGTCCAGGTTTGTCCTGGTCCTTGTCCTGGTCCTGGCCCAGGTCTCTTCCTTCTTTAGTCCTGGTCCAGGTCTGGGTCCACTGCGTAGCACCCCTCACGCTCCACTCTCCTATAGATGGCGCTGTACTTCCACAGCCGCTTCATTCGCGGAAGAATGTAGTTCTGGGTGAAGGACTCCCGATTCTGTGGTGTCTGACCCAACACGTCTAGCACCACGTTTATGAAGTCAAGGCAGAAGGAGAAGCAGTTGTGGTCGTCAGGGTCAAATCTGCAGAAGAACCAAAAAGAACCACATGAGACCTGCAGAAGAACCACTTAATGCAGCCAAGGCAGAATGAGAAACAGAGGAACGTGAGGAGAACATCAGAGCAGTAATAGCAGCAGTAGCAGTAGTAGCAGTAGTCCTACCTGGTCCACAGAGGATCCCATTGCGCCCCATGGCTGAATCTCTCTAAATACTCGTCCCATCGGTGGATTAGGTGAAACATGTCGGGACGAACGAGCGGTACAACCACTGACTCCTCCCACCCCGCGGCATCCCTGACCACGCCCCCTTCTGTGTAGTTATAAACCACACCTGGAAGTACACAAACAAGTACTCAAGAACACAAGAAAGTACTCAAATAAACAAAAACGATAATGAGGGTCAGAAACTCCTCTTGATCAGAAGTTTCCATCCCCTTGTCCTCATACGTTTCCATTCCCCAGGGCTCATAATTCTCCATCCCCCAGTTCTCATAGCATCCCCTACACACTGCTTGTGCGGTGAGGCGGCTGCTGCTCCTGCTGTAGTGTATGGAGAGGACAGTAAAGGCCATAGGACTGATGAACAGTGGCAAAAATCAGAGGTATGCGTTTGTCCTCATGGTCTCCGTGGGCTGGTGTGGTCAGACACAAAACTTTATGAAAGAAAAAGTTACATGTCCAGAACCCACTGTCAAGTCTTCTAATGTTTAAATAAAAGAGCTGTGAGTGTATGGAGCTGATGTTTTCCCAATGGCCGTTGGCACAAGCGTATTTCCAATGTATTTTGAGCTGTTCCTATTTCGGGTTGATACCCCCTTACGCTTGTCCGGTGTGACGCTCCAGGCTTCTACAACGGACACGCATGTGAAATTTGCCTCGCTGCACATATCTTGCGTGTAGTGTGTACTCTGCATCCCCTAGTCTCCAACCCCCTGTTACCTCTGGTGTTGGAGATCCCAGTGTGGAGATCTGCTGTTCCATCGAACTCCCTGAAACAGAAGGAGGCAGTGTGAGTGCGTGTGTGAGTGTGTGTGTGCGCGAGTGTGTGTCTATGTGCGTGTGCTTGTGAGTGTGTTACTCTCTCACCAGTGGGTAGGACTCGAGGGGTGGGGTTACTCATGTGGGCTGGGCTACTGTTGTGTGGGTGTGGCTCGTGGGGCAGGACTGTGGGCCTGGCTACACTCTCTTGGGGCATTCACAGCGCCGACGCTGGAACGCAGCTTCCGCGCGCACTAGACGCACATTCTCTAAATTTCCGACGCAAGGGGTTTTCAGACCAGAAGTCCTGGGCGGGCTTTGATGCTAACGGAGTTAAGATAGCAGCTTTTTGTGTAAAGTTCTTCTCCAAGAATGCAGCTCTGCAGTGTCTCTGTGACCTTTCAGAGACTTTACATAACAGCAGTATGTGTTCACGGAGGTGCGCCATAAGTTTATTGTATTCTAGAAGCAGTTGTATACAGTCACAGGAGAATGAGAACGCATATGTTAACAAGTGCCCCATTGTCAACCCAGGTTTAGTCTTGGTGTAGATCCTGTTCTGGCTGTTAACAAGTATTTTCAGTCTGCTTGCTCAGACCGCTAATGTCCTTGTGACCACTTTGTGGCTCTCTGATTGGTTGCTGCACGAGCGTCCCGAGGAAAAAGATCAGCAATGTTTATCTCCTGTGTGCGTCAATTTTCCGCTCCTGCGCCTCTGCCGCGCAGTCCGTGCGTGCGTGCCGAGACGCTCGAATGAGCGTCACTATTGACTTTGCATTGAAAGTTGCTGCAACGCATGATCCGGTCTGAACGTGGCTTCTCACCTCTCTGGGTTGCTCTCTGCTGGGGCGATCACCAGACTGCAGCTGGTCTTGTGGGCATGGCTCAGGGGGCGGGGCAGACTCACAGGTGCATCTGTAAGCCGCGCCCCTTTCAGCGCCTCTCCGCAGCAAGGGCAAACGTCCGGGACGGAGAAGCAGAAGACCGTTCTGCGGTAGTGGACCAGGCGAATTATAGGCCGGTCCATGAGGAGAGCAGGACCAGGGACTTGAGATCAGATAAACCAGGAACTGGGACCTAAGATCAGTTTAAGAGCTGCAAGGGAGACCAGAAAAACCAGAGAAAGACCTGAAAGAATGGGCGAAGAGAGACCAAAGTATGACCAGAGAGAGGCCAGGGAAAAAGTCCAGTAAGAGTTAGGGTTAGTGGTTACTGAACTATAGGTGTTTACTTTTCAATGTTAGTCAATAGAAGTTAGAGCGAGTTGGAACAAAACTTTACCATGGGCACTTCCCTATGGGCTACATTGAGCTTGCGGGTTAGCATTGTCCATCTGTACAATCTATGGTCATGAGCAGGACTTCAGGCTAACACTAAATATGATATGCTTGTAATAATTAGACAGAAGCTCTCATGATACAGGTGTGTAGAGACAGCTTACCTGCAAGTTAGAGGGGCTCCTGTCTCACCTCTGTTGCATGTTCTCCTACTGTCTCTGTTGCATGCTCTCCTAATGCCTCTTTTGCATGTTCTCTTGCTGCTCTCCTGCTGCAGACGTCGACCTCAAACTGTTGCTCTGCTCGGGTTCAAAGTCCTTTCTGGACCAATCATAGCACAGCACACTGGGAGGTGTCAGGTGTAGGTCATGTGTGTGTGTCTGGTTACCACGGAGACAGGACAGGATCAGGGATAAGTGTTCATACAACATTTAAAGTAGTTCCAACACTGTCCTTTCTGTGCACATGCTCTGGTTTCAAATTCATTACGCTGTGAGTTTAAGGAATGTCTGATCAGTGTTCAAAGCTCTCTTCTCAGACAGACTCTGCTCATTCATCTCAATGGGAAATCCTCCGGTCTGAACGGCTCTAATCAGAGATCAGAGAGAGACCTGAGCCCAGATGTGAGAGAACAGAGAGACCAGCAAGAAACTGGAGAGAGAACAGAGAGAAACAAAAGAGGAATCAGAGAGAGAGAGACTTACTTACTTAGACCAGGGAGAGAGCAGAGATAGAGCAGAGATTACATCATTGATGAATGCATGTGGCTGTTTCTATTGTTTCCTCTGTGAGCAGACGTCTGTGTTATATTTGTTTCTGAGAAATAGTAGTGTGGAAGATTAACCACACAGAGACGGGATCGTGGCACACCAGAGCTCTTTATTCAGTTTCCTCCAGGTTTTGGTTGGTTCCGTTTTTTCAGACTGAACAAAGTCAGGACATGGTTTATATAGTCATTGTTACGTCACAGATAAGGCATCAAGAGACAATAAAAATAAAAATAAAATAAAATAAGCATCAAGAGACAATCAGAACATTCTCGAGGTCGGACATCCGGGAACTTGGACTCCCATAATGCACTGCGCGCGCATAGCAACGCGGCGAAGGGTAAAACAAACCAGCGCCCGCCATTAAGCAACACAAAGCGAAAGACAAACGAGCGTTACAAAACATGCCGAAAAACTGTTGTATTGTTTGTTGTACCAACAACAGCGTAAAAAGGAGTGACCTATCCTTTTACATGATCCCTAGCGAGGCAACTGAGCCAGAAAGGAGAGAGAAATGGCTCCAGCTGGCTTGGAGCTACTCAGTGGGAATCTTTAGATTGTCACTTTGCTCCTTGAACAGGAAAGAAGAACAACAACCCCGCACACCCAGATTACACTGTGCTGAAGGAATTGACTAAGAGTACCACACTTGATCGCTTCAAGAGAGCACAGAAAAGAAAAGGTAAGTTTGCTACCCACAGTACCCTATCGTTAACAGAAAAAAAACCCCATCAAACTGTAGTGTGATCAACATGCATCTAGTTTGCTCCTAGATCAATGACCAAAAATTATCTGAATTTGTTGACACAACAACACTTGAAATTTAAAACTAAAAAATTGCAGTCGATTTTGTTTATGCAGACATATATATAGTAGCAAATTGTGTTTCTTGCTCTTATTTTACACTGCAGTAAAACCGTACCTGCAGATAATGAGCTGCATTTCCAATGCACAGTTAAGAATTAAAAGATTCCATATTGCAATGAGGTTGTGTACAACAATTGATACAAGCACCTTGTGAAATAGAATGTTGTCCCCCATATGAAATACATAAATAAAAAATACATGTTGATTTCTAATGACAAATTTGAAAAAGTAGTACTTGGGAGGTTAACTGCTACAAAAATGGTAATCTGTGTAAAAATACAGATTTTGCTAACAAATGTATTTTCCTTGAAAACAAAATTACCTCCTGTATGAAAAAGTCATTGCATCTACAAAGTAACTAGTCATGCAGATTTTTGTACATAATGCCTAGCCTGGAAATTCTTGGTAAGATGGTATTTATAGTACAAAACTAGTCTACTGGTCGCTGCTTTCTAGTCATAGTCGACTATTATGACTTGTCGTCCCAATCCAACTCAATACTAAATATACTGCCGTTTAGTAACACCAGGAAGCCGAGTGAGTGAGTGGTTGGTGGTGGTCGGAGGGGCCGATGGCGCAGACTGGTCGCCTCGCTTCAGTCAGTCTACCCCAGGGCAGCTGTGGCTATAATAGTTGCTTACCACCACCAAGTATGGAGTGAATGAATAGTGCAATGTTAAGCGTCTTTGAGTGTCCAGAAAAGCACTACATAAAACTGATGCATTATTATTATTATTATAAATATGAGGCCATGACTTAAAATTTCTGTGATCATTTGCAAAATATATACCTTTTATCTATTTTTTTCAGCACCATCCACTACTCTAGTATCACGAAAGGAAAGGAAGGTGAAGAAGCAACTGGAATTTGAGGAGACAAGTGTCCCAGAAGAGTTGCAACAAGAAGTGTCAACACCCTGCATGGAAATGCAAGACCTGCAGCAGACGGAATTAGGCATTGACAAAATCAGCGATGATTCGGTCTCCACCATCATAATACTAAATACACCTGAAACAAAAGAAAATGAAGAAAGGGAAATAATTTTATTTTTATACATTAACATATCACATCTAGGAGAGTGACAATTGACCAGAGCAAAAACACTGACAAATTGCAAGTAAATGATACAAATGTTTTCATGTCAATCTTCACGTCTTTTAGTATTTACACAATACAATACACAATACAATACAATACAATTTATTCTTGTATAGCCCTAGGTCACAACAGAAGTCATCTCAGAGGACTTAACAAAACCATTGAAATCACCAACACAGGTCAGAGAATCAACAGTTAAAACACATGAAGAATACAGTATAAAGCACACACAGAAGAAAATGTCCATACATGTTGTAGAATGTTAAAGTGTCCTGATCATCACCAATCCTTTCTGTTGGACACTAACTGTCCAACAAGACCCTCCTGCATCGACAAGGAAAAACTCTTAAAAAACCCAGTGGGAAAAAGTGAGAAACCTTGGAGGAGAACTAAAAGATTCCATATCTTTCATTTCTACTTATACAATGTCTAATAAACTATTTCTCATTAGAAATGTTAAAGTCTTGCTGTTGTCGTTAGACACTACATTCAATAAAATGTAATCTGATGACTGGTTATTGCAAAAAATAACCAGTCATAAAAAGTGTGAAGAGGGTATGCCATTTTACTTTAAAATTTAAATAGAAATGTAATCTCAAATGAATGGACACATTGAGGGGCAAATCAAAGAATAACAAAATAATACCAATGCCATGCCACTGTTTTCTGTTGCTATGTTATGACATCGCTATGCATAATGGTCGGCAGCTCCACACCGATAAGCAACAATGAAATGCACTAGTTGTGTGGGGAATAAGTGGAATTTCTGCAGTTAGCCTTTTTTGGCTTTTGAAAAAAACTGTGTCCCTCACTTACACTGTACAAGCTGTGCCACTGACAGACTGAGCTCATTACAGCCACATTGTAACAGAATGCTTTTGAATGTCATAACATAGTTAATGTTATCGATGCTTGATGGGTATTTAAATATTACTACAAGTGTAGGACACATGGTATGTACACATGGTGTTCATACCAGGGGACTTGATGATGTAATTGTATATGTCTGGATACTCGAGCCTGGGCCATGCCTTTGGGTTGTTTTCCCAGGACTCTGCTGGATGCCGATAGGGACAAGATTGTAAACCTACAAGCGACAGCTTTCTGTGGTACCTGGTCAATGCAGGCGCTAGGAGACTGTCAATATACTGATATGACATGCTGCAATAGAAGAAGATCTGTATTCATATAGTGCCTTTCACAGACATGTAGCTAGTCACAAAGCGCTTTACATGAGTGTTTACATTCACTCCATACATGTGGTATATACATCATCAGTGACATCAGCTGCAGGCAAGAGAAATAAGATTAAACTAAAACTGGCGATTATAAGTGTAAAACTACAACTGAAAAAGGTGGTCCTGTTGTGGCTTAAGGTGCAAGAACAAGAGGAATTACATTTGCGTTAATAAAATAAGGTTTATCTGATATTTCCAACAACAGTTAGACATTTCTTTATGACAACAGCTACAATGGAAATAGATAGGAATTTAGATTCCTGCCTCCAGCTAAGCAAGCCCTGAATGTTTACACCACCAACATACATTCGCATACACAGATATCATTCATCAATAATTCGAAGTTGTCCGTTAGTATCCATAACTGACATAATCCACGGCAAAACATATGTAAATAGATACCTTTTGGATTCGCCTTCGGTTTGTTTTACCCTTCAAACATGGCGGCGGTTGGGGGGGGTTGACTTCCGGGTAGCAATGGAGTAGCATCTCTGAGACGGTGCTCCCATCGGACCTTGATAAATACAGCATTTAAAAACTAATAGAACCAACAAAAGAGTTAACTCCGGCTATTAAGTCTGTTTGTGCGTTGAGGGATATGAGACGAAGCTCACGGAAAGGAGGAAATAAGCAACTATCTCAGACGCAAAAGTCCATAGCATCCTACACCGTGGGCAAGGATAAAATGGCGGACGTGGATTCCCCACAAAGTCTTGAAACCGCTGCTGTTTCTACACTTGATTTGGCAATTCTCCGCCATGAACTCCAGTCACACCGGGACGACATAAAGATGGATATTGGAACGCAGATTTTGGATCTCAAAGAGGACATTTCGTCCCTGCGCAATGATACCAGAGCAGATATTAAAACCCTTCGTGAGGAGCTAACTGGGGAGCTAGCTAAACTTAGCAACAAACAAGCAGAGGCTACGCGGCAGATGGAAGACATGGGGAATACGCTAAGCGACACGATCGATAGAGTCGCCGCATTGGAGCACAACCAGCAGCTTATGACCAAGAAATGCAAGACTCTCCAAGAAAAATGCGCGGACTTCGAAAACAGGAGCCGGAGATGTAATCTGAGGTTCGTTGGGGTTGTGGAGGACTCGGAGAAGGGGAATATGCTTACGTTTCTGCCGGTGTTTATTCGTGAGATACTGGGACGCGAAAACTTTGATTCTCCCCTGGTAATTGACAGAGCCCATAGAAGTCTCGGTCCGAAGCCCGCTTCTACAGACAGACCACGCTCGATAGTGGCTTGTTTCCACTACTTTTCGGATAGACAGAAAATACTAGATCTAGCCAAATCCAAGGGAAAACTTGTGTATGACGGGCGACAGGTGCACATCTTCCCTGACATGACTCCTGAGGTGGGAAAGATGCGCGCAGCCTTCAACGACATAAAGAGAAAGCTCCGCGATGCTGGAGTGTCATACAGCCTCTTTTTCCCTGCGAAGCTGGTTGTCACAGTGAAAGGAGAAAGACATTCATTTGACTCACCTCAGGCAGCCGAGTCCTTCTACCAACAACATGTGAAGTAAGACTGAATAATGTCGCCTAGCTCATCGCTACTACTCGAGGAGAGGAGCGCGGACCTGATTGGTATGACTTGTGAATGACTTTGGTGTTTGTTTTTTCTTGGGGCTGATATGAGCCAAGTTTAGCGATTGATGTAAATACAGTTGGGTTTCTTCTTAGTTTGATGTATGATACACGGCGGTATCAGGTTCAAAAACTCATAATTTAAATGCTGTTAACACAATTTAGTTTCTAAAAACGGAGTGGTAGTGTTTTCCTTACCACTTAGCTGGGTTGCATTCAGCAACATGAGTAGTTTGCTGTCAAAGCTTTTTTCCCTAACACTCGTTTGGGGAGTGTCTAAGGGGGGGAAGGGGTTATTTGTTCTCATGAATGTTTTTGTTTTTTTTTTAGTAGCACAGACTTTATTCTGGTGGATACATTTTTTTTCACTTAACATGCTGTTGTGGACCATACATTTTTTGTTTAATTTATGCTATGGCAGATAAAGAAACTTTAGTGAAATGCTTGTCCTGGAATTGTAAAGGCCTGAATGGTACATTGAAACGGAATAAGATTCTCAACCACATCAATGCACTTGGGGCAAGTATTATGTTCTTACAAGAGACCCACCTCAAAAACCGTGATCATACACACTTACGCAAAACTTGGATTGGGCATATATACCACTCAAGTTTTAACCTAAAGTCTAGGGGTGTGGCTATTTTGATTAGGAAGAATACATCTTTTGCTCTATCTGACTCCATTTTAGATCCACAAGGTAGATATGTGATAGTAACTGGGAAACTCTGTAATGTACCAGTTATTCTGGCTAACATATATGCACCCAATCATGACGACGAACACTTTATACGGTCTATAATATCATCCCTTCCGGATATACACAGTCATAGTCTGATTATGGGCGGCGATTTCAACTTCGTGCTTGACCCGTTACTTGATAGATCATCAAATAAGCAACAGAGTTTGACCAAATCTGCTAAATTGATTAAGCAATTTTTAAAATCTGCTGACTTAGTAGACCCATGGAGGCACATAAATCCCACTAAGCGTGAATATTCATTTTTCTCCCCGCGGCATAATTCTTACTCGAGGATTGATTTTTTTTTGACAGATTCTAAATTGTTACCCATAATCAAAACAATACAATATGAGGCTATAGTGCTGTCAGACCATGGACCATTAACATTAAATCTTTCATTCCCTAAACTGAATGGATCAAAAAATTGGAGAATGGATAACCGGTGTTTGGCAGAAGAGTCATCCAGGCAGTTTATAAAATCTCAGATATCTTTCTATTTTGAAACAAATGATTCCATAGAAATTTCAAGGGAAACTCTTTGGGAAGCAATGAAAGCTTTTATTCGCGGTCAAATTATATCTCAGAGTGCATTAAAATATAGGAAGGAAAAACAGGAGAAACAGTTAATAACTGAACAAATTCAAACCTTGGATCAACAGCATGCCACCAACCCAGAGCCAGATATTTTGGCTAAACGTATTGCTCTGCAGGCTGAATTCAATTTGTTATCCTCAGCTTCAGCAGTGAAATTAATAAAGGAAACAAAACATCGATTCTATGAACAGGGGGAAAAACCCGGCCGACTACTTGCTCACCAGATTAAAGTTATGGAGGAGAAAAAAACAAATTTTAGAAGTAATAACACATCTGGGCACTTTAACTACTGACCAACAAGAAATAAACAGGGAATTTAAAAAGTTTTATGAAGATTTGTACACATCCGAAGTTGAAGGGGATACTACTCTGTTAAATAGTTTTTTCGATGATCTACCCATTCCCTTAATAACTCAGAAATCTAAAGACGAGTTGGAAAGTCTTATCTCTCTAGATGAGGTTAAACGGGCAATCAAAGCTTTACAGACATCAAAGGCACCTGGTCCTGACGGTTTTACAACTGAATTTTATAAATCTTTTGTTGATGAGCTGGCTCCCAGGTTACTCCAAGTTTATAACGAATCCATGACTCTTGGTAAACTCCCACCAACATTTTATCAAGCAACTATTTTTGTCATCCATAAAAAAGATAAAGATCCAAAAAGTTTGTCTGCATACAGGCCAATTAGTCTTTTGAATGTAGATGTTAAAATCCTGGCAAAAATATTAAGTAATCGACTGGAAACTGTGCTACCCACAATCATACATGAAGACCAGAATGGTTTCATAAAAAACAGACAGTTAACCCATAATTTAAGACGTCTTTTTAATATTATCTATACAAGCAATGCACAAGCTCAACCTGAATTGCTCATCTCTTTAGACGCGGAGAAGGCCTTCGACAGGGTGGAGTGGTCCTACCTCTTCTTCGCCCTGTCGAAGTTTGGATTTGGAATTCAGTTTGTTGCTTGGCTGAAACTACTGTATGCCTCCCCGGTTGCTTCCATACAAACCAATAACATCAGGTCAGAGTACTTCCCTCTAACTAGGTCTACTCGACAGGGCTGTCCGTTGTCGCCCCTACTGTTTGCAATTGCAATCGAACCTCTTGCTATTTCACTTCGTATGATGCAGAACTATTCTGGCATCACAAGAGCAAACTCTGAGCATAAGGTATCGCTCTATGCTGATGACCTTCTCCTATATATCTCAAACCCTTTAATATCTATTCCTGCAATAATGAAAAAACTGGAACAATTCAGCTCAATATCTGGCTACAAATTAAACATAGGCAAGAGTACTGTTTTCCCAATAAACCGGACACTGGATGACATGCATGTTTATCGCTTACCCTTTAAGATTTCTGATGAATTTAAATACCTGGGAATTAACATTACCTCATCCTTTAATGGGTTACTACTTGAAAATTTTACAAAATTGATAGAACAGACCTCTGTAGATTGTGAGAGATGGTCTTATCTCCCACTTTCATTAGCAGGCCGTATTAATATAATCAAGATGACAGTACTGCCAAGATTCCTCTTTTTATTCCAGTGCATTCCTTTTTATCTGAATAAGTCATTTTTTAGAAAACTTGACACAATAATTTCAGAATTTGTGTGGAATAAAAAGACTGCTAGAATTAGAAAAGCATTCCTGCAGAGACCAAAACAGTCAGGTGGAATGGGGTTGCCAAATTTTCAATTATACTATTGGGCTTGCAATCTTAAATGTATGTCATTTTGGATCCAAAAGAAGTTTCCAAGCTGGATGCAAATGGAGCAGTATTACTGTTCTCCCTCTTCACTTAGAGCATTTGTTTTTGCAGATATAGCATCAATGTCTCATGGTGGTATTGATAATTTGGTAGTCTCTCATTCACTTCAAATATGGAAACAAATTTTAAGGCATTTTGGTCTTCATTCCAACCCGATGCTTGGACCCACAATTAAAAATCACCTGTTTGCACCCTCTTTTGGAAATGACACTTTTACCGAATGGTTTAGGCGTGGTTTATGTAATTTTATGGACTTTTTTATAGAGGGTTTTTTTCCTTCATTTGAAACACTTAAGGAAAAATTTGGCTTACGCAACTGTCACTTTTTTAAATATTTGCAGGTTCGTCATTTTGTTAAACAGAACAATGCTAACTATCCTAGGGCTCCGACACCAAAACCTATTGATACACTTTTTTTAGATAACCCTTCTTCTAAAGGAGGCATCTCTAAGCTTTATAATAAATTGTCTGAGTTTGATGGTTCTGGTACTTTGCAACACCTGAGGCAGGCCTGGGAGGAGGAACTTGGTATTGCTGTCACTGAAGAGCACTGGGAACAAGCACTCGCTTGTACCCACTCAACCTCCATCTGTGCTCGCCACGGTTTAATTCAGTTTAAGATCATACACAGGATCCACTGGTCAAGACTTCGATTGAGTAAGATCTTTCCTGATGTGGACCCTGTGTGTACGCGCTGTAATCAAGCACCAGCTTCTCTGTCACACATGTTCTGGGGTTGCTCTGAGCTATACACTTTTTGGTCAAATATTTTCTCAATATTATCAAAAGCTATTCACAAAACTATTGGCATGAATCCTCTCACAGCAGTACTTGGAATTGTAGATCGAAATTTAATTACAAGACGGTCAGAGCGCACTGTTCTACAATTTGGGTGCTTACTTGCACGAAGACTGATTTTATTAAATTGGAAGGAGGCAGAGCCCCCCTCTCATGTGCATTGGTTAAGAGATGTAATGATGCACTTAGATCTGGAGAAGATCAGGTATTCCTTACAAGGTCATGAAGATACATTTACCAGGACATGGGCATCCTTTATTAGTCTGTTTAAAATGGGAACTTGAACTACACTTTTTTGTTTTAATTGTATGTCCACATTAATCCACTTTAATTGTCCGCATATTTTCTTTTTTACTATAGTCTGTGTGAATGTTCCTTTGTTTATTTGTTTTTTCTTTTTCTCTCTGTATAACCTAACATATATACATACATATCTAACGGGATATATACATCTAATACAGTGCTTTGAAGTGATCTGTACTTTCTGTTGGATTGCCAAACTGTATAAATTTGTGAAAACCTAATAAACAGAATGTTAAAAAAAAAAAAAACATGGCGGCGGTTGGTTGCTACGCAGGTCACATGATTCGTGACGTAACGCCGACCTCGAGAATGGAGACACAATAGAGTCCTTGTGACCGTGAGGGCCAGATATTTTGTCTTGCGTTTGGCCACCTGCGTAGGCCATAGCTATCTATTCACCATAGTAGTAACTAGAAGTAGCAGAACTGTGGATATGTAAATGTGCTGGACCACGAGAGAGTGAGAATTAGGTCAGGTTTGTTTTACAGTGTATTTCACAAATATAACATGCTAAGAAATATAATGGGTCTTCATCCTACTCCTGTTAATGTGACTGTAATGCTATAGAAGAACGAATAAAATGAAATCAAAATGAATAATAAAGACTACGGAAGCCGGGTGGCGTGATATCCGGTCATTATCACCCTGAACGGTAGAGGGCAGCCCTACGCTTATGTAGTGTATAGCCTCCCGGAAATAAATAAAGAAGAAGAATAATATCCGGTCCTTTTCCGGGTCGTTGTTCCGGTAACAACATGAACGCGCCTCCCGCCTTCGAGTCGTTTCTTCTTTTTGAAGGAGAAAAGAAAATCAGCATTAGCAAAGACACGAAGGTCCCCAACGCCTGTCTGTTCACGCTGAACAAGGAGGACCACACTCTAGGAAACATCATCAGAGCGTGAGTACGATGGCTACGGGGGGAGGGGAGTTAACGGGGTAAACTTATGGAGCTATTATAATAACGGGGTAAACCCTAATCCTCATGGAGCTTGTGTGAGATAGCTCTAATCCTCATGGAGCTTGTGTGAGATAGCTCTAATCCTCATGGAGCCTTTGAGATAACCTAGCTCTAAGCCTTATGGAGCTGCTGGGAGTTTGCTCTAATTGTACCCTCTCTGTGCCCTCAGGCAGCTGCTGAAGGACCCTCAGGTGCTGTTTGCTGGATACAAAGTCCCTCATCCTCTGGAACACAAAATTGTGATCAGAGTCCAGACCACACCGGACTATAGCCCCCAGGTCAGACCCAGACAAGACCTATGGTCTCTCTAGTCTCGCTTTCTGGTTTACATATTTACTTGTTTACAGGAGGCCTTCACTAACTCAATCACTGACCTGATCTCAGAGCTCTCTCTTCTTGAGGAACGGTTCCGCGTTGCCATCAAAGATAAACAGGAGGGGATTGAGTGATCCTGTTGTTTAAATAAAGCTGCTGTAAAATGTGGAGCGTATTTGTTTACATTATTGTCTGTAGCACAGGAACAGCTCATCTCTGTGGAGTGTAAGGTATTAAAGTAAAGAACGGACTAGAAATGTTTTTATTAGTCAATGGTGTACAACTCTACAGCGGCCCTGGTCAGTGTTGTGCATATGTCACAAGTCTTCAGATGCCCTGCAAGCTCCACATGCCAGTGAAGTGAACGATCAGTGCAGAGCAATGTCTCAGGTGTAACAAAATATGAGTTAAACATGAATTACAATTAGTATAAAAGACATGTCATTGTGGGGATGAGCAGTATGGGATTGGGCCTGTTGTCATGGAGATGAGCAAAGGTCATGTTTGGTGTTTGGCCACCTGCCATCAAGGGGATGAATGGCGGCGATGTGATGTGGTGTCTTTCCTCCTGTCGTCATGGAGACAAGCGCCGTCCATGTTGGGTATGGCGTTTGCTGTGTACAGCCTCCTGGATGAGACAGTGGCATGCCGCGTATGATACCAGTGTCACCAGAGTCACCGGTACCAGTGCCACCAAGGCTACGCCCACCCAGCGCTGACAGACCCCGCCCCCCCAGCGTTGAGAGACCCCACCCACCCACAGGTGTGAGCTCATGAGTAGGTAAATGCCGAGAGGCAGCGACGAGAAGTAAAACTGGGAAGAAACATGAATAAAGTTCTTATGAGCTTTTACAAACATACAGTACACACATAAATACTGAGTTACACTCACCACGCACAGCGCCCCCACCAGGCAGCGCGGCACACTGCGGCTCTTAGACAGAGGCAAGGGGGCAGAGCCTGGAGGACGATAGATGGCACTAAGCATGCTCAGTGATGAGCTTGAGTCTTCGGGGACTTCCATTACTGTGATGAGGAGACAGTCCGAGTCTAGACCAGAGAAAAACCACAAGAGACCAGGTTTAGACCAGGTCGCTCTGAGAGACCAGAGAGAAAGACCAGAAATATGAAGCACTATAACAATAATGAAAATGTTTTACCTGAAAGGGAGGCAGGGCTTAACAGAACCTCTGCAGAACCAGACGAGGCCACAGTCTGGTCTCTGCTTTGGTCCCTGGTCCCAGTCCTGGTCTGGTCTCGGATCTGGGTTGGTTTCTTCCTCTGAAAAGTCTCTTTAATCAGGACTGAAAGGATGCGAGTGTCCTCTCCCATGAGCCACAGCTGCACACAGTCACATGTTGAGGTTCAGGTTCCTTCATTTTACCATCTTCATAGTAGTATTAGTAGTAGTAGTAGTAGTAGTATCAGCAGTAGTAGTAGTAGGCAGTAAGAGTAGTAGTAGTAGTAGTACTACTACAATTAAAGGTGAAGTATTTGTACCTCATTGTGTCGAATTTTGGTTTCCTGTCGACAGAACGGACATGTGACCATCAGCCAGACGTCTCCTGAGTACAGAGTACACAGTTACTGCAATAGTAGTAGTAGTAGTAGTAGAAGCAGGAAAATTGATCACATTTCTTGAAGAACTGTATATCTCCAAGCCCACACTGATGAGGTTTTCACTCAGTAACTCTGGCTAGGATTAAGAAAGAAAGTAGCAGCAGCAGTAGTGGCAGAAGTAGTAGCAGCAATAAAAGTACCTGTGGTAAAAAAATAAAAAATAAAGTGCAGCAGCAGTACAAGCACCTATAGTACATATCTGCTAGAGTACAAGTACTTGTAGTACATGTCTGCAACAGTAGATGCAGCAGCAGTAGTGTTAGTAAAAGCAGCAGTAGCAGTACAAGTACCTGTAGTACATATCTGCAGTAGTAGTCTCTCCACACAGCGCCCACACACTCTGTGTTCACACTGCAGTACTTTTGGCCTCCTGTTGGTGGCGTTGTAGCGACTGTAGCAGATTTTACAGTCGAGCTCCAGGGCCTCCGACTCCCCCACCTTAAAACATGTGAGGTTAGCTCCGCTCCCAGAGCACACCTATGGTTAGCCCCGGCCCCCACAGAGACAAATAAGGTGTAGTTACTCACCTGTGGATCAGTCATCCTATTGGCTGAAGTTGGACTCAGTGGGAGGTGCTTGAATTTCCACCTGAAGTTAAATTAGACACATACTTTTTTATGTAACCATTTACTGAAGTTACAATAGTAATCAAGTAAGACTTAGAAAGAAATATAACAAGTGTTAAAACACAAATTGTCAGTCAAGCTGCCATATGGAGACCCCTGCTGGAGAAGTATGGTAACTTGATAGCATGATCCTCTCCTCTTCCTATTTTCTGTCCTCATCGTTGTCTGTTTCATGGCATCATCTGCACCTGTGGACCGTTTTCCACGGCCCGGACTCATAGGTTTGCACCCCTCCCAGACTGGGAGCCACCTCAGTGCTACACAATAGACAGCGTGGCCTCGGTCCTTGAAGTGGAGGCTCAATAATTTAACTGGCCCACTAAGGGATATACACTGGTTGAGGCGGCAACAGTATGGAAAGATTCCGGTCAGAGAATCAGGGTCCAGAGGGGGGATATTTCTCAGTCGTTGGTTTATTCACATTCACGGTGTGTTACAAATATGTAACGTGTGTGTGTGTGTGTGTGTGTGGTCTGCAACAAAGAACAGACAAAAAATATAATGAATAAATGTACAAACTGTACACTGTACATAACTACAAGGCATATATTATAATACATAACATACACATAACAGCTCTAAATTGACACTGCAATGCTGTAAGAGCAAAATAACAGCACTTATATGAGTGCTCCCAAAAGTTACAGACATACCCTTTACTTTGGTGCGAGACGCAGCGGCAGGCAGTCAACTACACAATTCACGTAAAATAACAATATACTAAAAATAGAATTAACTTTAAACTATGAATTAGCAGGTCAATTAACATTAGAACTCTACTTCACAAATGTACGTCACATTACTCATGCTAAGTGAGACTGAAGAAAACACGTGTTAAGTCTAAACACGGACATATGGTTATAACAGGCACATTGGTCAACTAATCACACATTGCACTTACTTTTTGATCATTTACGCACACTGACACACAGGGAACAACGTTAATGAGTCCTTAATGCACGAAAAAAGTCTCTGCAGCGCATCTAGCTGCTGTGGTTGCTCTATTAATAGCATACGTGCTCAGAAACAAAAGTGACACTAACATGCAAAAACGAAACCTAACACTAGGGGCGCACTTCTCGGCTTGGCTTTCCTACACAGCCGCCCCCAAATGTCAGCAATGACATTTGTAACTATTTAGAAAGACAAGCAGTGGGGTCCTGGTCATCTTCTTCAATCTTCGGCAAGGAGATCAGCCGGGCAACGGGTCGAGTGTAAGTCTTCTCGTTGACCTTCACTGATGCAGTCCGGACGCGTCCGTCGGATCCTCTGAACGTCTCTGTCACGGAGCCCACTGGCCAGAGAGCCCGCGGCAGCTGTGGGTCGACGATGAGGACAACTTGGCCTGTGTCCAGTTCCTTTGTGTCAGTTCTCCACTTCTGACGTTCTTGGAGACTCGGAAGGTAGTTCCGGATGAAAGCTGTCCAAAAGCTGTCCGCCAAGATCTGACAATGTCTCCATCTCCTCCTTTTACGCCGACCGATCTTGACAGAGAACGGACCAAAACAGTTCACTCCAGTGGAATAGAATGGATGCTTGTGCTGGCGTAAACGGTTGTGTGGAAAGTTGGATGTCTTCGAGATGGTGGGCTTTGCACGCCAGTGTTGACGCTCATGGCAGGAGTGCTGGAGCTTTCTGAGAGCTTCCCTGCCTGTGAGCACCAAATACTGACGTCTCCTCTTAATCAAGACTCTCTCAGGGCCTGGATGAAGTAGCTCTTCAGGAAACGAGTCCAACTGAGACTGAGCAAGTATTATCTTCTCTGCATGGGAAACATCATTAGACTTGTCGCTGCTTGGGTTAGCCGCCCCGTTGACAACCCCCATAGTGGCTTGGACGAGGGCATCCCGTGACAGAAACTGGGAAGCATCGGGGGCTGGAGAGTCGGTAATAATCGCTTCAATGAATGCAGATTCCTGAAGCTGAACATCTGGACCACAGCAAAGCAACGGAGTGGTGTTGTGTTGCACTCCTTGCACATCAACTCTGATGGTTGCGCATTGTGGAAGATTGTATGCTTGTTGATCCTGTTTGGAACTGGTGTGCGCTTTCTCGCTCGGGGGGAGAACGTCTAGATTCAACAAGCGCTCCTCATTGTTGACTAACTCCTGCTGTCGATCTTCAGTTAGGGCAAGATGTAGACACTGTTGTTCCTTGTGAGAACTTTGGAAAGGACTCATGGGGCCCTGCAGTGTCCATCCAAGGAGCGTGCAGACGGCGATTGGTCCATATTGGGGTCCTTTGCATATGGGCTGAATAGGGGTGAGCAGGTGAGGTGCGTCAGACCCTATCAGAATGAGTGGCTGTACATTACTCAACGGGCGTAGTGGAAGACCCTTAAGGTGCTGATAACGCTGCTGGAGAGCATGTACGGGGTAAGACACATCAGCTAGGCTGAGCTCTTGGGCTGAGAAGGCATTGCGAATGTGGTACCTCTCAGAGGGGTTCTCAATGGGAGAAATCTCAAAGGAGATAGATGAGCCAGCAATGTGTTCAACTTTTCGATGCACTGTCCGGAGAGCCAGGGTCTCGGAATCACCCTTGAAGTTCAGATGTTGCACAACTGGGGGGAGAATAACAGTTCTTTCTGATCCATCATCCAGTATGGCATACGCTTGCATTGATCGATTTCCATTGTGGACAAGGACACTCACTACTTTCAGCATGACGCGCTGTGATCGGTTAGGACGGTCAAAGTAGATTTGAGTGGAGGGGATATTGACCATGAGGAAAGCCCCAGAAGTGGCTTGAACCGATTCATGGAGAATGGTGAGGTGTGTCTCTTTACAGACTTCGCAGGGGCGTTTCAGAGTACAGGTGTCTGCACTATGATTTCGACCGCATCTCCAACATCTTATTCCATCTTTGATCCACTTTATGATCTCGTTTACGTGAAGTTTCTTAAAGTCATTGCAGAAGTTAAGATAATGCTCTGTGTTATCACACCATGGACAATATGGCTTGGGCTTGGAGTTAGGTTGGGCTTTAGATGTAGTTGAGGCAGATGGCTTACTATCAAGTGTTAGCAGAACTGGAGTAACCCTGTCCTTTGGATGCGTACTCCTGTAAGTATTCATCGGCTTGGGGGTTTCAGCAGTGAACTGTGATGCTGCGCGACTTGAGATCTGTTTGGCTTGAGACTTAACCTGCAACCAAGCTGCTAGATCAGGAAGAGTGTATGTTCTGTTAGTACCTGTCTGAAGGATACCACGGGTCAGGCAGTATTCCACAAAGCTGTCACGGAGGTGTGGCGGCATCTTGCTCAGCAGGCGATCAACGTGAGAGCCACACATCAGCTCGTAACTGTTATGACCCTCAAGTGACCTTAGCATTCCAACCAATGACTGCACCGCCAGGGCGAAGGAGTCGAATGCAGCAAAGTCTCCTGGTTTGAAAGCTGGCATGCTCAATATTGTACCCAGTTCAGATTGAACGAGCTGCCGTGGTTGGCCGTACTTGTCTTGAAGAGCTTTCAAGGCCGTGGTGTAGGGCTGTGGGTGGTACATGTGAGCTTTAGCAAGTTGGAGTGCGCTAGCGTGCTTCAGCTGACCGAGTAGTACCTGATACTTATACTGTTCACTGAGGTGAGTGTGGGTACTCAGGAGGTTGTCGAGTGCCATCTTCAGCAGGGCAAAGTCGCTTTCACGTCCACTCTCAAAATAAGGCAGGGTAGGCCTGGGAATACCGTAAGTGGAAGCAATCAGCATATCTGATCCAAATGGTGGAAGATCACGGGGCTGAAATGATGGATAGAATGGCTGGGAGACTGCTGGTTGACCTTGGGCTGGCAGTGTCTGTAGTGCAGACGGTAAAGGCTGGCCATACATCGGTGGAGACAAGGCGGAGGTCATTATGGGTGCGACATTAGATTGTGTAGTCATAACTGCAGGAGGAAGCTGAGCTGCATGATTGTCCGAGTGCGACTGCATCATGAGTGTATTCGTACTCTGTGTGTGGATAGGAGGTACATACTGCGTTGGCTGCGTGGCTTGAAGAAGGCTCGGAGCGTTGTCTGGCACAGGTGTGGGTTGTCTTGGCACAGAAGGTGGCTGAGCTGCATGTGCAATGGACATAGTATCCATAACAACTGATGGTCTTGTGCTACTAGCAGACGGTGTGGATACTGGTAGCTGGAGGTAGCCTTCAGGAGTTAATGAGGGCTCTGGTGAAACAGCCTGCGCATCTGTGTTTAGGACTGAGGAGACCAGTTTAGCCATTCTCACCCTTCTCTGGGCTTCCTGCAGGCGACGATTCCTATCCAGTTGTTTATGAAGAGTCTCCTTAGCAAGTAGTGCTTCTTCTTGTGCGCGCTGCGCCTCCTTAGCCTGGAGCTGTAAGCGCTGATACTCCATATCTGCTTGAGTGTCCTCAGCTAGTTCCTGTCTAAGGTCATCAAGCTCGATTTGACTCAACCCTTCCTCCAGAAGAGCAGACTGCGTTGAGTTGAACTCTATGTTCGGGAAATGACCTCTACTTGATCTGCCTATGCTGCGGAAGGAGCCACTACCGGATCTCCTAGATTGGCTTCTGTGTTTACTGCTGGAGCTTGAGCAGGAACTGGTTGAAGCGGCTTTAGGATGGTTGGGTCGTGGAGGGTATCCAACATCATAATCAAGTAGATACGTAGGGAGACGGCGTTCTCTCTGTGGTCTTTCCTGGAGCTCTCGGGCATCTGCAGCTTCCATACTGTGCGGTGGGGGGTGCACTCAATCCGGCTCGAAGGACCAAATGAAGTGGAGGCTCAATAATTTAACTGGCCCACTAAGGGATATACACTGGTTGAGGCGGCAACAGTATGGAAAGATTCCGGTCAGAGAATCAGGGTCCAGAGGGGGGATATTTCTCAGTCGTTGGTTTATTCACATTCACGGTGTGTTACAAATATGTAACGTGTGTGTGTGTGTGTGTGTGTGTGTGTGGTCTGCAACAAAGAACAGACAAAAAATATAATGAATAAATGTACAAACTGTACACTGTACATAACTACAAGGAATATATTATAATACATAACATACACATAACAGCTCTAAATTGACACTGCAATGCTGTAAGAGCAAAATAACAGCACTTATATGAGTGCTCCCAAAAGTTACAGACATACCCTTTACTTTGGTGCGAGACGCAGCGGCAGGCAGTCAACTACACAATTCACGTAAAATAACAATATACTAAAAATAGAATTAACTTTAAACTATGAATTAGCAGGTCAATTAACATTAGAACTCTACTTCACAAATGTACGTCACATTACTCATGCTAAGTGAGACTGAAGAAAACACGTGTTAAGTCTAAACACGGACATATGGTTATAACAGGCACATTGGTCAACTAATCACACATTGCACTTACTTTTTGATCATTTACGCACACTGACACACAGGGAACAACGTTAATGAGTCCTTAATGCACGAAAAAAGTCTCTGCAGCGCATCTAGCTGCTGTGGTTGCTCTATTAATAGCATACGTGCTCAGAAACAAAAGTGACACTAACATGCAAAAACGAAACCTAACACTAGGGGCGCACTTCTCGGCTTGGCTTTCCTACAGTCCTAATTCTACAGCCTGGATCTATAGCCCATCCGTCCGTGAGAGCGGATCCGTCCCTCAATGCGGGTCTCCCTGAGGTTTTTCACTTTTTCCCACTGGAGTTTTTTCTTGCTGATGCAGAAGGGTCTAACGCAGGGGTGCCCAAACCTTTTGCTTCCAAGGGCCAAAGTAAAAATTTGCCAGTGGGCCGCGGGCCAAATACACAGATATTACGCATTAAACACAAATAAATGTAGATTTGATCAAGTTCAATTAAATGCATTAATTATTGTCTATCAGTGCAAATCACAGCTGAATGAATGAAATCAACACAGTCTTAGTGAAATGGAGACTCCAGGGAAATATGCTGGTTTGAGGAGACTACAGTACGGAAAGATTCCGGCCGGGTAATCAGGGTCCAGAGGAGGGAGATTTTCTGTCATGGCTTATTTAAAGGTTACAATCATATAAAAAACCTCAAAAAGAGAACAGAAACATACATTTTCTATGTAAATAAACTGTTTTTTATATTCTACTTGTAAACAAAAAATGTGCCTGCTAGTAAATGAAAGTACTAATTAAATAATATCATACTCCCAAATTAAATTATCTATATTTTTAACCTGCTCATGTCAGTAAACTGTTTGTTGAAGACCTTTTTCTAAACAGTTTTGCATTACTATAGTACAGTGATTTATTGTTGAGCGTGATGTGAAATGCTAACCTGGCAAAAGCCAGATTGATGATTGTGTAGAACAGCCATTCCCAAACTCAGTAACACCGAGGCCCCCTTAAAAATCTGACGGGTCTGCGTGGCCCCCCAAAATAATAACCAAGAAGACAACATTAAGAATAGGCTCTTCTGGTTATTTTATTTTGGGGAAATAGCCTCTGCTACAAACATTGTAATACAAAAATGATTACAGTGGATTATTCAAGTCAAATAATGAACACATATTTTAATATTACAAACAAAACATTATAAATGTAACATTAATTTTTTTTTAATGACCTCCCGCGGCCCCCCTGCAGTACCCTCGCGGCCCACCAGGGGGCCGCGGACCCCACTTTGGGAGACACTGGTGTAGAACTCTAACGCGTTCTCCGCGATATCAATCTGGGATTTCTCCCGGAGAATCCTTTCGGGGAAAGGAGGGGTAAGCAGCAGAATACTTGAAGCTGATTGGGCGAAGTGACGCTGTGTCACCAAGGTTGCCGTCCAGAAATGTACAAAGCGCCTCTCGCTGTTCATCTTTCAAAAAAGAAATTGGAGATTCTGCTAAAACTGACTTTGCGTCCGTCCTCCTGCGTAGCCATGTTTGTTTTGCTTCGGCCCGGCACTTCTTGCTTTCGTCAAACCCGGATATCCCGCCCTAAACCGCGTGATTGGCTCGCACACCCAGTGGTTCGACTCGAAAAGTGTAAGCGGGAGCGGTACAAGATGTATTCTCGAGTGTTTGTGAACTCACAAATACCGCGAGAATTCAGCTTGCAGGCAAGGTTAGTGAAATGCAGCCTCATTTATTATGGTTCATTTATTAGCAGGCAATGTGGTTCCTGTGAGGACCCCTACTGACGTCAAGTAGCTCCATAAATTGCACCTGTTTTGCTTTAATAAATTGATTGTTTCCTCAACTGGAAAGCTGGCTGCTCGCGTCTATTGATGGAAAACACAACAGGTTATGGGCCCAGCACGCTGTCTGGCCAACGTTTCAGCCGGCTGCTGTGATGAGAGGAACTACGAACTTTGGGAGACGAGATTCCTCGCGCCGGGACACTGAAGACTGAGCCGGTGTTCGATGGGGCAGCTGAGGGCGTTGAAGATGCACGAGTTGCAGACGCTGGGAGGAATGGACAGGCGTATGCGGAGTTGGTCCAGGTTTTGGACAATAAAAGTCTGTCGCTGATTATGAGAGAGGCGGACGGAGACGGGCGCAAGGCGTTGAAGATACTTCGCCATCATTATGCAGGCAAAGGAAAGCCGCGTATATATATATACTGCACGCTGTCAGCCCTCCACATGCAAAGCAACGAGACTGTCACAGATTACATTGTTTGAGCCGAGACAATATTTGCAGCGTTGTCGAGGGCAGAAGAGAACATTAGTGATGGTCTGCAAGTTGCAATGGTGGTGAAAGGTCTGCCCAACTCATTTAAGCCGTTTGTGGTAAACATCACACAGATGAGCGAAGCCCTAACGTCCAGTGACTTTAAGACAAAGCTGAGAAATGTTGAGGACACTGAAAGATACAAGCCAAGTGTTCTGCCTCCGTTTTTTAGTGGCTAGATGATTTACTTGTAAATGAGTTTCTAATAATTAACTTTAAACACCGTTTTCTTATTGGTTTGGTTGCTATGCAGTTTTGGTTCATTTGGTTGCTATGCATGGTTTCTAGGCAGTAGAAGGCTCTCAAATGTAAACATGCTTGTTAACAGTTAGTAACAGTAACAGTCTGCTGAAGTTACTACTGTCTCCACTTGTGTCTCAACTTTTCTACATGTACGAAAGCAATAACTGTAAGTTTTGAAAGTGTGTTGTTATTTGTTTATTTCTGTCAATCAAAGCTAAATGTACATTATTTCTGTTTTATTTCATAGTTTCACTCGAGCTTTTTACGATAACCTGTCTACAAGTCCTGTATTAAAGGATCAACCTGGCTCGTGAAGACCGAGTTTGGCTTGCTGTTGATTTACGTTAACATACTCCATGTATACAACGCGTATTGAGAACAGTATAGTGAAAAGTTATACAGCAGTACGTGGAAGATAAACTTCACGACACAGCTATGGACAACATCTCTAAATCAAAGGCTTCATCAAAGGCTTCATCCAAAGGAGGCTCCCAAGCAACATCCTCCAAAGGCAGCATGTCCAGTGTTCATGCAGCGGCCGCCCTGGCACGGGCCTCTGCCGAAGCAGCGAATCCCAAAGCAAAATACAGTAAGAAAAAACTAGAAATGAAAAGATTACAAGCAGAGAAAGAACTAGAAATGAAAAGATTACAAGCAGAGAAAGAACTAGAAATCAGCAGGCACAACTAGAATTAGAAAAGGCAACACTAGAAGCAGATTTAGAGATGCTTGAGGGAGAAAGGGATGCTGCAGCCAAGACAGCGGAGGCAAAGGTTTTAGAAGCAGCAGTATCTGCAGTACAAGACGATGGTGAAAGTGTAAAAAGTGCAGTCCCACTCCAAGTTATCACTCAGAGAACAAAAGAGTATGTAGACCATCAAAACCAATTAAATTCACAAGTAGAATCTCTGCAAGACCCAAAACTTAATTTGGAATCTGCACCAAGCAGGTTTTCTACAGAGAGATTACGATCACCGCCCTCTCCATCAGCCCACAGGAAAAGTCAACAAAATAATGAGCCACAAATAGGTAATACTAAGCCATTCATCTACCAACCTTCTTGTCATAGCGACCCACCGCCTATGGTAGATTTTGCCCGGTTCCTTGCGCGCAGAGAGCTCATAACCACAGGCCTCTCTCAGTTTGATGACACCCCTGAGAACTTTCGAGCATGGCAGTCATCCTTTCTGAATGCAACCCAGGAAATAGGACTCTCATATAGCGAGGAATTAGACCTCCTAGGAAATAGGACTCTCATATAGCGAGGAATTAGACCTCCTAGTCAAGTGGCTCGGTAAAGAGTCCTCTGAGCATGTTAAAAGAATCAGATCAGTCTTTTGCACCAACCCTCAAGCTGCGCTCAAAATGTCGTGGGAAAGGCTCAATGAATGCTATGCCACACCAGAAATAGTCGAAAATGCCTTATTCAAAAAACTGGATAACTTCCCACACCTGACAAATAAGGACAATTTAAAACTCAGAGAGCTTAGCGATTACCTTTTAGAGTTGCAAGTTGCCCAAGAAGAAGGTTATCTCCCTGGTCTGGCATATCTCGACACATCCCGTGGTGTCAAACCCATTGTTGAAAAGCTTCCCCCTAGTCTACAAAATGAATGGGTCCATCGAGGTTCAAAATACAAGCGAACAAACGATGTGACATTCCCTCCCTTCTCGTACTTTGTCAAGTTTGTGCGGGAGGAGGCAAAGGCAAGGAACGATCCAAGTTTTATTATGAGCGACAGCCAAACCTTCAATCAAAGTGAGAGAACACCATTCAAACAAACCAACTACAAAACGCCTATCACTGTAAATCGGACAGAAGTTAAATCCTCCTCTACCATGGCTGCAGAGGAACAGGATTTAGCCCGCTATTGCCCTATTCACAAGGCCACACATCCCCTAGCAAAATGCAGAACCTTCCAAAACAAACCACTGCAAGAGAGGCGCAATATTCTCAGAGAAACAAGGCGATGTTTCCGGTGCTGTTCTCCAACCCACATAGTAAAGGACTGTGATGTAGAACTCATGTGCGAGGAGTGTCAAAGTGACAATCATTGTTCAGCCATGCATCCATATTTAAACCAGCAGCTTCAGCCACCAACTACACCTGACCCAGAAGCTCAGTCCCAAAACAACACACCACCAGAGGTAACATCGCGGTTCACTGAGATATGTGATGGAAGAAGTTCTCCACGTTCTTGTTCCAAGGTATGTCTTGTCCATGCTTTCCCTAAGGGCCAACCAGAGCGCTCTGTCAAGATGTATGCAATCCTTGACGATCAGAGTAATAGCTCATTGGCTCGTCCTGAATTCTTTGAGCAGTTTGGGATAACAAGTAGCCCTGTGACATACAGCATGAGAACGTGCGCTGGAGTGACTAAAATGATCGGCAGAAAAGCAACAAACTTCCAGATTGAGTCAATAGATGGAAGCTTACTTCTCGATCTCCCTCCACTAATAGAATGTAACAAAATAGTCACTAACAAAAATGAGATACCAACACCCGAAGATGCTCTTACTTATACTCACTTACAGCATCTGGCCCCACTCATTCCGAAGTATGACCCAGATGTTCAAATCACAATCTTATTGGGTAGAGACATCATAAGGGTCCACAAAGCAAGAGAACAAGTCAACGGACCCGACAATGCTCCCTTCGCCCAACGCCTTGATCTCGGCTGGGTAATTGTTGGCGAAGTGTGTCCCAGTAACACTAAATCTACCGTCAACGTCTTTAAAACCCATCTGCTATCTAATGGACATTCAACTCTCCTCACTCCTTGTCATAGCAGCGTCGACATTAAAGGGTCATTGTGTTACGGCGGGGAGCAAAGAAATGGCCACTTCAAACGCATCTCAAAACAAGCAGCAGAAGATAACCTTGAGCAGAAGAATAAAACGTGTGCCACATTCTCTGAGGACCAAACCTTTCCAAACCTGAAAGACAAATATTTGCATCCTGAAGAAAGTAAATCCTTCATCACAACGCTGAACATGTCCTCCCACTCATCTGTCCCAACCAGCAGAAACCCAGCAATGCACGCTTTTACACCTTTACCTGAGTCCAATACTCCGAACAGCAAATTTATACAAACCATGAAACCAGAAAACCTGGCGAAAGGTATTAAAAGCTCTTCTGCTCAAACTCAAGAAAGCGGCCGCTCACTTCAAGGTTTCCATTGCTACTCATCACAGAACCCTCTAGTTCTCAACGCTGAATGCCACGGCCATCAGGTCTGCTCCAACTCAAATAGAAGATCATTTCCCAGCGGAACACCTAATCCATCAGACATTTCAATTGAACTCGACGTTCCCCGATCCCAAAGCAAGTACTTTGGCAAGTACTTTGGTACTCAACACACCACAATTTCCAAAAAAGAAGACATCGTGTTACTGAAAAAGACTCGATACAGATAGACACTTCTATCTCTACAGAAGGTGACAGGACTGTCCAATAGGCAAGAGTGAGGACATCGCCCTGTCTCAGTGACTCTCGCATTTCATTTCTTGTTGTTCACGTTGAAAAGGAACTCCTGCTTGAAAGTAGTGGCAGTAATATGCCAGACGGGGAGTGTTCTGCCTCCGTTTTTTAGTGGCTAGATGAACACCTGTTTAATTGTGATTGGTACATTTTGATTTACTTGTAAATGAGTTTCTAATAATTAACTTTAAACACCGTTTTCTTATTGGTTTGGTTGCTATGCAGTTTTGGTTCATTTGGTTGCTATGCATGGTTTCTAGGCAGTAGAAGGCTCTCAAATGTAAACATGCTTGTTAACAGTTAGTAACAGTAACAGTCTGCTGAAGTTACTACTGTCTCCACTTGTGTCTCAACTTTTCTACATGTACGAAAGCAATAACTAAGTTTTGCAAGTGTGTTATTTGTTTATTTCTGTCAATCAAAGCTAAATGTACATTATTTCTGTTTTATTTCATAGTTTCACTCGAGCTTTTTACGATAACCTGTCTACAAGTCCTGTATTAAAGGATCAACCTGGCTCGTGAAGACCGAGTTTGGCTTGCTGTTGATTTACGTTAACATACTCCATGTATACAACGCGTATTGAGAACAGTATACCAAGCGATATCACAGAAGACAATGTGATGAGAGCAGCAGGGGCAGCCACCTACGGGCCACAAGGACGAGGCAGAGAGCGGAGGAAGGATTCGGCCGAGATAGAGTGCTACAGATGCCGTAAAATGGGACATGTGGCAAGGAATTGTCCCAGCGCGTATGAGGAGAGGCAACAGGACCGCAGGAGCGACGCGCCACGCCGAGGGGGATGGCAGCAGCGACGGGGGAAGAGCAGCAACGAGGAGCCACAGACCGCTGGGAGCGCTGGGCTCGACCCGACAGGAGCGCCAGGGACCAAGAAGGACCCTGCCCCTGGAGCGCCTACAGAGAAGCAGCAAATGATGGAGACGAGGACTACTATGAAGACCACAGGTCGTATTGTTTTAAATTGAGTGACAACAGGAGTTCAAAGGGGGCAGTCGATGTTAAAGGTTTACTAGTCGATTGTGGTGCTACATCCAGAGCCGGCGCTTCCTATACGCAGACTACGCAGTATGCGTAGGGCCCCGCAGCTGGAAGGGCCCCGGAGTGCGGGGGCTCTCACTCGTGCTGTTACGAGGCCCTTCATATCCGGAATCACCCATTTGATTGGTTGTTAAAGTTGTCACTTGCTGTCTCCCATGATCCTCATACGTTACGTCCTTACGTTGCACTTTCAACCCTCCCCTCCCTCCCCCTTGTTGTTGTCAGTCGCACAGCCACAGCAGAGGCAGAGACGCTGAAGCAGAGTGATGAAAAAGGAAAAAATACAGCAAACTGCGGGAACAACAGACGGGTAAAAAAACGTGTGGTTCCCGACCCGACGCATTGACTGTCTGCAAAGAAAGTTTAATATTGTGTCTGACATGTTTTATTTCTACTTTTAACAAGTCCCAAAACAACTTAGTCAGTCAAGCTCTTTGTTGTGGTTAAGGTGAACACCTTCAAAATAAACGTGCTTCCTTTGATAATCGGAAGTATTTTGTTACATTTGTAATTTAGACATAATACTAACAGTGTTTGTATAATGTGCTACTAATATTAATATTAAGGTAATATATTAATACTAGTGGTGATAATAATTAAACTAGTTATTATTTTTATTTTATATAAAATGTATATATATATATATATAATTTATATATATTATATACTTATATTATAGCTAATATTTGTATTTTGTTTATTTTTGTATTTTAACATGTTTGTACTCTTGTCTTATGTACACAATTTATTCTATACGTGCCAAATGTGACATGAACATTTCTCCTGAGTGAGATCAATAAAGTCTTACTTATCATATCTTTAATCGTGTGTGAAAAGTTCAAATGTATTTTTATCTTCGGTTGAATCCATCACTAATCAAGTCTTATATCGCTTGATTACTGTGAATTATTTATTTGTAATATATATGTGTAATGGAACTTATGCTTGCTTTAATTTTTATGGTTTCTTGAGTTAGGTGTATAGGGCCCCTATGCTGACTTCTGCTTAGGGCCCCAACAAGGCAAGCACCAGCTCTGGCTACATCGCATATGATAAATGACTTTAAAAAGTTTAAGAACATTGATAAAGACTTTAAGCCTGTAAACCATGTGATTGAACTAGCTGATCACTGGAGTGGCAGGCGCCAGGGGGGATGCAGAGGTCTCTCTGGTAGATAGCCATGGACATAAAGTGACAGCACTACTGAAGAAAGCCCTGTATATACCTACTTTTCCACAAGACATTTTCTCAGTGAAGGCAGCCACAGGCCACGGGGCGGAATTGCATTTCAGAGAGGGTGATAACTGGATGGGTGTTACGGATGGCACCAGATTTAACATTGAGACCCACAGTAAACTGTATTATCTGCCCACAATTATTGATGCAGACAGTGACAAGTTTAAGAGATGTCACGATATACAGACGTGGCACAGAATACTTGGACACTGTAACTTTGAGGATGTTTCCAGATTGGAGAGTGTGGTTGAAGGGATGAAAATCAAGGGGAAATGTATCAAATCTGCCTTCAGCTGTGAAGTCTGTATGGAAGGGAAATTCGTAGATAAGAGAAATAGACAGGCTGATAGCAGAGGTAAACAAATATTACAACCGGTGCATACTGACCTATGTGGTCCTTTGGAGCCTACGGATAGGGATGGGTATAGGTACACCCTAGCCTTCACAGACGACTACAGTGGCATGACCTGGGCCTATTTTCTCAAGGCAAAAAGTGACACTACCAGAGCAACAGAAAAATTCTTAGCTGACACAGCTCCTTATGGCAATGTGAAGACTATTAGATCGGACAATGGGACGGAGTACACTGGTAAAGAGTTCCAGGATCTTCTCATGAAAAATAGGATCAGCCATCAGACTAGTGCCCCTTATTCACCTCATCAAAACGGTACAGCAGAACGAAAGTGGAGGACGTTACTGGACATGAGCCGGTGCATGTTACCTGAAAGTAAATTACCAAAAACTCTATGGAGATATGCAGTGCAGACAGCTGCACATATACGTAACAGGTGCTATAGTAGGCGACTAGGCAAAACTCCATATGTTTTCACAGGGAAAACTCCAAATATTTCCCATATGCTGATATTTGGTACAGAGTGATATGCTTACAAGCATAATCAAAAGAAATTGAGTCCTAGAGGTGAAAGGGGCATTTTCGTTGGGTATGATAGGCACAGTCCTGCATACAACATCTATTTTCCAAAGACCGGAAGAGTTTCCCGGCATAGACTAGTGAAGCCCCTATACTGACACTGGACAGTCAGATATATAGTGACGAAGAGGATGTTGGACTGTATACAGCACCACCAAGGATCGGTGTACATCCCCAGAGCCACCAGATCGAACCCACGGGTGCAGCAGGTGGAGGTACATCACCCACTCGCCAGACCCCTGTTGCGGGGGATGAAAGCGGTGCAAAGTCTGGTATCAAAGGAGATAGTAAGGGGGCACGTCGCTATCCAAGCAGAGATAGACAACCCCCATCATATCTCAGGGATTACCAATGTAAGACGGAGGACGTTGTGGAAGAACAAGATATTGATCACTTTTATAGAGCGGTGTTTGGTGTACCCAAAACCTACACAGAGGCTGTGAGAGCTGAGAGGTCCCATGAGTGGACTAAAGCAATGGAAGAAGAAATGCACTCTTTGAGAGAGAATGAAACTTTCTATGTAAGCTCCCAAGGGGAAAAAGGGCAGTAGGGGGCCGCTGGGTGTTTGTAGTCAAAGAAAGACCTGGTCAGCCTGAGGTTTTCAAAGCAAGATACAGTGCCTTGCGAAAGTATTCGGCCCCCTTGAACCTTTCAACATTTCGCCACATTTCAGGCTTCAAACATAAAGATATAAAAATTACAATTTTTGTCAAGATTCAACAACAAGTGGGGCACAATCGTGAAGTGGAACAAAATTTATTGGATAATTTAAACTTTTTAAACAAATAAAAAACTGAAAAGTGGGGCGTGCAATATTATTCGGCCCCTTTGCGCTAATACTTTTTAGTGCCACCTTTTGCTGCAATTACAGCTGCAAATCGCTTGGGGTATGTCTCTATCAGTTTTGCACATCGAGAGATTGGAATTCTTGCCCATTCTTCCTTGCAAAACAGCTCGAGCTCAGTGAGGTTGGATGGAGAGCATTTGTGAACAGCAGTCTTCAGCTCTTTCCACAGATTCTCGATTGGATTCAGGTCTGGACTTTGACTTGGCCATTCTAACACCTGGATACGTCTATTTGTGAACCATTCAATTGTAGATTTGGCTTTATGTTTTGGATCATTGTCCTGTTGGAAGATAAATCTCCGTCCCAGTCTCAGGTCTTTTGCAGACTCCAACAGGTTTTCTTCCAGAAAGGTCCTGTATTTGGCTCCATCCATCTTCCCATCACTTTTAGCCATCTTCCCTGTCCCTGCTGAAGAAAAGCAGGCCCAAACCATGATGCTGCCACCACCATGTTTGACAGTGGGGATGGTGTGTTCAGGGTGATGAGCTGTGTTGCTTTTACGCCAAACATATCGTTTTGCATTGTGGCCAAAAAGTTCGATTTTGGTTTCATCTGACCAGAACACCTTCTTCCACATGTTTGGTGTGTCTCCCAGGTGGCTTGTGGCAAACTTTAAACGAGACTTTTTATGGATATCTTTGAGAAATGGCTTTCTTCTTGCCACTCTTCCATAAAGGCCAGATTTGTGCAGTGCACGACTGATTGTTGTCCTATGGACAGACTCTCCCACCTCAGCTGTAGTTATCTGCAGTTCATCCAGAGTGATCATGGGCCTCTTGGCTGCATCTCTGATCAGTCTTCTCCTTGTTTGAGATGAAAGTTTTGAGGGACGGCCGGGTCTTGGTAGATTTGCAGTGGTCTGATACTCCTTCCATTTCAATATAATTGCTTGCACAGTGCTCCTTGAGATGTTTAAAGCTTGGGAAATCTTTTTGTATCCAAATCCGGCTTTAAACTTCTCCACAACAGTATCTCGGACCTGCCTGGTGTGTTCCTTTGTCTTCATGGTTCTCTCTGCGCTTTAAACAGAACCCTGAGACTATCAAAGAGCAGGTGCATTTATACGGAGACTTGATTACACACATGTGCATTCTATTTATCATCATCAGTCATTTAGGACAACATTGGATCATTCAAAGATCCTCACTGAACTTCTGGAGTGAGTTTGCTGCACTGAAAGTAAAGGGGCCGAATAATATTGCACGCCCCACTTTTCAGTTTTTTATTTGTTAAAAAAGTTTAAATTATCCAATAAATTTTGTTCCACTTCACGATTGTGTCCCAGTTGTTGTTGATTCATGACAAAAAATTAAAATTTTATATCTTTATGTTTGAAGCCTGAAATGTGGCGAAATGTTGAAAGGTTCAAGGGGGCCGAATACTTTCGCAAGGCACTGTACGTGGCAAAAGGCTACAGCCAAGTAAAGGGGATTGACTACAAAGAGACCTTTTCCCCAACGGCCAGTATGACATCTGTGAGGATATTGATGCAGATAGCAGCTCAAGACGACCTTGTACTTCATCAAATGGACGTGAAAACGGCATATCTTCATGCCCCAATGGACTGTGAGGTGTACATGGAGCAGCCAGAGGGGTTTGCGATAGAGCCTGGGACTGGTGAACGCTTGGTCTGTAAACAAAATAAATCCTTGTATGGTCTAAAACAATCTGGACGCAACTGGAACAAGCTGTTAAATGATCACCTAGTGGTTAATGGTTTTGAACAAAATGCGGCGGACAATTGTGTTTATGTTCGACAGTCTGGGGCTGAAAGGGTCATTTTGATAATTTGGGTAGATGACTTGTTAATTGCAGCCAATAACGAAAGGCTAATCTGTGAAGTAAAAGAAATGTTGGAAAATAAGTTTAAGATGAAAGATCTAGGGGGACTCGGACATTTCTTAGGTATTGAC